TCCTCGATAGATTTGTGTACACAAAAGAGAGAGTGAATTGTTGGGAACATGGCCAGAAACTTGAGAAGTAAAACTTAAAATCTAAGCTCAATATCCTAACATATCAACTCTGTCAAGAATGGAGTGCACTTAAAATCAAAGTTCCATACCCTAAACTCTGTCAAGGATGGAGTGCTACTTTTATTTCGCTTTGCCACCACTCACCAAGAGCCACTTTTTTGTATGAATATATTGACAGGATTATCACACAATTATGATGGGTCGAGATTGAGTCTAGATGATCTTGATCACATTTCAACCTTGTCACTCGAGCCAAAACTCACCAATCTCTCTTTGACAAAGAAGAAAAGGGTCGGGATCACTAGTTATAAGTTTGGGCTCCAGTGGCTCTAACAAAAATTAAAGATAAACCCTATGAGGAGAGATGATCTAATCTGCAACTATATATAAGAAATCGGATGGTATCCATTATTAGTGGCAATCTACAAGCAGGAGGAACCCTACGAGGGTTCATGAAATGCATATTTACTTGAGTTAAACATTAAATAGCATCACCATCAACTCAATATGAAATAGAAATAACAAGGATATCTTTAGGACCTTCGTCCTGATGAACTCAATAAATAGCATCACCATCGAAATCGAAAAGAAAAAAGCACATAAATTCAGAATCACCAACGGATACTGAAAAATTGTTAGTTAAATTTAGTGATAATCTGAATGTTTAATCAACTAAAGGCAAGAGAGAACAAAAGAAATTGCCATATTGTAAGATTAGTGCTGACTGCTACCATTCCATATGCTTTGCAACTGCGTCAGGCCTGAAATTGTTACACTCAATCATGAGAAAGAGGACTAAATTTTATCTGACAAAATCAATGATTAACTATAAAGACATAATAAACCTTCACTCCGTCATACCATCTTGAGGACTAAATTATTCAATTATAAAATTACTAAGCTATTCCAAATATGATTCATTCTGCCCACCCTCAAGCTCATTCACGTTTGTTTAAATTAACCCAAATATTATTAAGCAAATCCTGAACTGAAGCAACGTGTTCATAACCTGAAGAAGTGCTAGCAGTGCACTGACCTGAGAGAAGATGAAATCCATTCCCTAAGGGTTCGAACATTCAACATAGTTTCAGCTGTTGTAAAGGTCTTCAAAACTACCACAACTGCAAATATCAAAAGAATTATATATATGCCACAAATATTTTTCAGAAACGGAATACTGCCACTCTTTATGGGCCATCCTCTCCAGCAAACATTCGGTTACTCTTTTCTTTGAGGGATGCAGCCTGCATTGTGGCATAGACAACATTAATTAGAAAACACTATATTCACCCAATCCCTTCCCCCCACAAGACACTAGTTACGAATGGGCCAACCCCACCCCTGCCAATTTCCAAGGTTTCGGGCGTGGCACGTTGCCGTGAGTAGTCCAACAGTATCCCGTCAAAGTCACAATTAAGTTTATGTTTGTTTTAGGTGAACCTGGAGATGCTACTAGGATTGAATCCCATACTCAAGCTCATACAGATCCGACTATGGAGATCTAAATGCGAGTCGCTAAAACTCCAGCTTGATGTATTTGCAGAGATGCCAGACCAGCCAGGGAAAAAGAAATCTGAAGAAAAAAAACGTCATTCAAGTTTTCCAAAAATCGGCCGCCTAGGCGGGGGCTAGGCGGGTCCTTTTTATTTTATTTTATAAATAGTATCGCCGCACGGCTGAAATTATATATTTACATATGGTCGCGCCGCTGTACTCTTGGAACTAAGTTCTATTCTTCCAAAAATGACACTCACATTTTTCCTCTCAACCAGATTTGATGTCTCCAATATGTCAATATGAAATAGACATAACAATCGCTATGCGACAAAGATCTATTTCCAGATCAGAAAGCAAAATTTCCTTGAGGCCATTGACAAGTGAGAACATTTTTTTGAAGCTTCTTATAATCTATACATAAACAATCTTAAAAAACACCAGGTTCTGCATGTTTTTGGTTCATTCTTGACAGCAATTGTCGCTCCAAGTCATTAGATATCCTCATGAAGGATCTCAAAGCTTTTGCCGAAGGTAATGAGGAGCTGTTCAAAGAAATGCATCAAATGTGTATGGGTTCAATCCAACAGGGATCATACAGAGGAAAACAAATTAATAGAATACCCTTAGACCCGAATCATCCATCCTCTGATAATAAATAAAAAATTATATATGCCACAAATATTTTTCAGAAACGGAGTACTGCCACTCTTTATGGGCCATGCTCCCCACCAAACATTCGGTTAATCATTTCTTTGAGGGATGCAGCCTGCATTGTGGCATAGACAACATTAATTAGACAACGCTATATTCACCCAATCCCTTCCCCCCACCAGACACTAGTTACGAACAGGCCAACCCCACCTCTGCCAATTTCCAAGGTTTCAGGCGTGGAACGTTGCTGATTTTCAGAGATGCCTTTACGTTGTTGACAAACGAGAGTAGCAAAAAACCTAGCTTGATGTATTTGCAGAGATGTCAGACCCGCTAGGAAAAAAGAAATCTATATAAAAAAAACGCCATCGAAGTTTTCCAAAAATCGGCCGCCTAGGCGGGCTAGGCGGGTCCTTATTGTTTTATTTTATAAATAGTATAGCCGGACGGCTATACGCCTGAAATAATATATTTAAACTGTATGGCCGCGCGGCTATACCCTTGAGCTCAATATGTCAATATTGATGTCTCCAATATGTCAATATGAAATAGAAATAACAATTGCTACTCGACGAAGATCTATTTCCAGATCAGAAAGCAAAATTTCCTTGAGGCCATTGACAAGTGAGAACATCATTTTTTTTAGGCTTCTTGTAATCCATACATAAACAATCTCTGGAAAAAAAATACCGTCTTCTGCATGTTTTTGGTTCATTCTTGATAGCAATTGTCGCGCCAAGGCATTAGATATCCTCATGAAGGATCTCAAAATTTTTGCCAAAGGTAATGAGGAGATGTTCAAAGAAATGCATCACATGTGTATGGGTTCAATCCAACAGGGATCATAAGGCACTCTCTATGTGTGGAGATATAATGTTTATGAGGAAGAATATGATGAAAGAACTCAACTCAGGCAAATAATCGAGGCAAATCCAGTTTTCCGTGGCAAACTGAAGTATCCTAGCATCAAAAGTCATAGATACATAAACTCATTAACCAAAGGTAATGCTTCCTCTCTAGTTTTGGTCTTCCTTTCTATTTTGTGATTGCATATGTTCATGCATATGCCTGTGCGCGTTTGTGTGTGTGAGAGAGTACTTGTTATTCTCATATTTAGTAAAAGATTTAGTCACTTTCAGTTTTTTGTAATTGGGAGAGACAGTGACTTGTGTGTTTAACTTGACAACTTGAATTGGCAGCTAAACTTTTAAAATATTTGAATATATTATATTTCAAGCTTATAGCCGAACGGCTATACTGTTAAAATATTCTACGAGTATAGCCGGACGGCTATTCTCTTTAAATATACAATTTTATCATATCATTTCAGGGTTTGGGGATAAAATACCACTTTAATCCATTGGGCTAAAGTTATTTCTTCAATTCTTTTATTTGTATAAGCGATATTGGGAATGATAATTTAAATACTTTCCAATACCTCTCATTCTAATGATTTCCAACTATTAACCCATTGGGCAAGAATACAAAAATGTATTTTATTTATAACAAATAAAACAGGCTAAACCCATAAATACAACAACAAAAAATAAGGATTTGCCAACATTTTGTGGATCAAAGACTGTTGAATTTCATATTAAAAAATTGCTTGTATAGGAATTTACTTTCTAAAATGTCTATCGTAATAACGAACTAAACCCAATTACTGACTTTTTCCCATTGCACTTGACAGCCCTGCTCTTCTACTATGAGATATATTAGTCCGCACCGTATTCTATGTAGATGAAAAATTGGATACAAAACCGTCTAACGAGACAACAAAGAGAAGTTTGCAGCTCTGTTTTGAAATAAATCGAAGGTAATAGAGGTCATATGGCATTGATATACGAAGTATTCTAAATGAGAATTCAAACAACATGTGCTAGATGAGAAGTAGCATCTCATTCTTACATATACCATACCCACATGCACCTGAAATTCCCAGTGTGAAGAGGGGAGGTAAGTGCAATACCTCTCTTGTAGCTCGCAAGCATAGTAGATCCAACCTTCCATGAGGATGTCGGTTTGATAAAGAAGCAAGCTGCATCCAATCATACATTAATACCGGCAATCACAGCCCACAATATACTCAGTTTTAATAAAGAGAAATATAAAGTTACCCATAAGCTAAAGCACTCAGGATCTTGTGGTGAAGGCATCATCGCGTCCCTGCCGAGAAGTCTCTCAAGTTGTCTTCGATCTGTAAAGAGATACTATCATATGTCAAAAAGGCACCTAGGGATACTTAACACAAGAATAGGGGAAGAAACCATTCTTATGTACACTGGCATTACATGTAGGATAATCTCCCAAGTCTCAAGTACCTCTGTGTTAGATTTGATGGGGGAGATGGTGCCTCAATGGAGAAACTTTTTTCTAAGTGCCCCGTACTTGAAGATTTGACTATTCTTGGGAAACTTAGAGTTGATTCAAAATCTTTGCCCCTGAATTGAAGACAAGCATCACAAATACTAGAAATAATCGTACGTTCCAACTCTTCATCAATTCCCCAAAGCTTGAAAACCTGATTGTCGATGTCTTCGGTTGGTGCTCATCTGCCATTTTATGTTTTCTAAAATCCGCAGCCAAAATTCGTCCCTATAGGCTTCCGTAGTGAAAGTCTAGCCTGTGATTACCTTGTGCCTCCGTTTACTATAGGAATTTCCAATGTTACGTATCTTTCTCTTCTAGCTTCTAGTTTGGATCGTTTATTTTTGCCTACTATCTTTAAACATTTGAAATAGTTGGAGCTAGGACTAATTCATTCTGGTTACTGGACATTGCTCATAGAATATATGAACCAATCACCTAATCTAGAATCTCTTAAGCTGGACCTTGATAGTATGTTGAACACAGAAAACAACCCTTTCCGTCCACCAGCATTTATGCCTACTTGTTTGTCTTTACACATTAGGATAATCTCCATGAAGGGGTTCCAAGGAAAACGTGATGAGATGGATGCGACTAAGTATTTATTGAAGTTTAGTTTGGTTATAAATAAAATGACTGTTTCTACTGCTACTGCTGCTGGTGTTGTCACTCCTTCCCTCCTGAAATAGGAGATATACAAGGAAATTTCAATGCTTGAATGTGGTTCAGAGAGTTGCCATGTTCAAGTTCTATGAGATGCAATGAAGGTCTCGGTTTCACATCAGTTCAAGGATTTCTCCGAGTTCGTTCTATACTTTTTGAGTTTGAAAATGTCAATTTCATTTGTTTCTTTCACTCATCTGTTAGATTAAAGTGGAGATTATATTAGAAGTGATTTAATCCAACTTATTTTGGAACTTTGAATTTTCTGTACAACTCCATGATCTATTTTTGGTCATTAAATTGTTGGTTTTCTAGTTGGCGTGAACCTGCAACAATTGACAGCTTTTACATGTCAATATTTTATTTTTCAATTTGGGGTTTTAGACATTCAGCCAATTGCAGTGACCAAAAAATTGGCCGAGGCAGGCGCTAGGCCGCTAAACGGGCACTAGGCGGCTAGGCAGGTTGGGTCTCTTTTCGGTGCCGAGCCCGGAGTACGAAGTCTCTGTCTTTACATACATTGAAAGAGTCCAATCCAATCAAATCAATGTAGTAGCCGAAACCGAAGAAAAAAAAATTCAAAGCTTGAGTTGAGAGAGAGTCTCAAGACCGAGTCTTTGAAGCTTGGAAACAGCTGTGACTCCGACTACAAGCTTCGTGTTCGTTTCTTTGTCCCTAAACTGTGAACATTTTTAAAGAGTATAGCCGCTCAGCTATGCGTTTTTAATTTTTAAAATTTCAAAGCGTATAGCCGCGTAGCAATACCTTTAAAATGTTCAAATATATTAAAAGGGTATAGCCGACACTCTTTAAATATGCAATTTTGTCATGTGATTTTAGGGTTTAGGGCTAAGATACCACTTTAGCCCATTGGGCTAGTGTTAGTCATTCAATTACTTTATTTATACAAATGATATTAGGGAATGAGAATTTAAATTCTTTTCGATACCTCACATTCTAATGATTTCCAACTATTAGCCCATTAGAAAGAAAAGAATTAAAAAAATGAATAAATTAAATATTATATAACAAATAATACTAATTAAACCCAAAAAAAAAAAAAAAAAAAAAAAAAAAAAAAAAAAAAAAATGCAACATTTTGTGGATCAAAGAATGTTGAATTTCATAGTATAAAATTGCCAGTATAGTAATTTACTTTCTAAATTGTATCCATCGTAATTATGAACTAAACCCAATTATAGCCTTTTTCTTATTGCACTTGACAACCCTGCGGCTATACTGTTAAAATATTGGATAATTTTGCTTCTAGCAATTTTGAATGTGCCTTGGAAACATCATTCACAGTATGAGAGCATACAATTTAGACCTGGCAATATTACACACGACTCGTTAACACGACATGAATTCGCACGAAATTATCAGTATTTGAGTTGAACTTAATGGGTCGGGTTGAAAACGGGTGAACCCATTAGTCACCCGTTAAGCTAACGGGTCGTGTCGGGTCAATTCGCGAATATTCCCATCCACCCGTTAAGGAGGGTAATTTTGTAATTTTGCAAAGAGTTTTTGAAAAAAATATCTCAATTCCTAACACCAAACAGACGCTTCTTCTTCTTTTTTTTTCTGTCATTTTTCATCTCTCCATTTCTTCCATTCTCTTTTTTAATATTATTTTTCCTTCAACCCATTCTCTCTTCGTGACTCTCACCTTTTTTCTTCCACTCAACAGACTCAGCCCAGCCAAGAGAAGAGTGGTGAAACGGAGACCTCCATCACGGCGACGTCACCTGAGATTTTAGATTTCTTCATGTAGTTCCCCATGTCTCTCGGCCTAAGCCTTTATCTCTCAGTCAATTTTCTTTATTCCTATGTTTTTGCTGTTGTTGTTGGGTTTTAAGGTTGGATTAAATGAGAGTGACTGTGAAAGTGGTGAAGAGAGAGAGAGAGAGAGAGGACCAATTTTGTAAGATATCTATGAGAGAGAGAAGTTTTTTTGTCTTGGGGGTGGGGAGACTGAAATGAAGAGGAAAAGAGGGAAGAAAAGTTTAGGGAAAGAAGAGTTAGGATTGGGCGATAGTTTTTTTTTGTTTTTTTGTTTTGTTTATTCTTAACGGGTCGTGCGGGTTTTTTTGCGAATTGTAACGGGTCGTGTTTGGGTTTGATAATTTTCACCTGTTAAGTTAACGGGTCATGTCGTGTCAACCCGTTAACTTAACGGGTTAACACGAACACGACCCGAAACCCGTTAAAACGACTCCTTCTCTTTGCATTTACAATATTAATCAATTGGGTTAGGCTTACAAATGGGCTCGAATACCTTAATTCAAAACCACACAAGCATCAGTAGTTTCTATTTGGCAAAAGTGTACCTCAATAGATAACAAAAGTAAATAATTTGACAAGCGAACACCCAACGGGGCAGAACAAGAAGACTCAATTAAAAACAACATCGACTGAGTGGTAAAATTATAAACCACAAGAACTAAAAAAAGTACTTTTTGTTCCCTTTCAAAAGGGTTTTGAAGTTTAGGGTTGGGAAAGAATTAGAGATGGGGCCCATAGGGTGTTTTGAAATAGTTTTAAATTTACATTTTAAATTAATTGTTATTAATATTAAATTGGGGTTTATTCGCCGCAATGGTCCCTCAACTATACCCGTACTTGCATTGGGTCACTGAACTCAATTATTAGTTGAGAGGGTCACTCAACTATGTGTTGGTTGCACCAGTAGTCCTTCCGTCAAGTCCGTTAGTTTTTTTCCGTTTTAAAATGATGACGTGGCAAGCCATGGTGAGAATCTATCATAATCGTGAGGGGCAAATCTGCTTTCAGTTAGCCTTCTTCAACCACCGACTTTTGCCAATTCGAGAGAAACAACCAATACGGGTCTAACCCTTTTTTTGCAAATTCAACCCATGAGGCTGGATAACATGTTTGAGATTATCTTCCTGGGTTCAATATCAAGAAGCTGGGGTGTACAAATTTGATTGGAGATGACGGGGAGGCCTTGGGACCAAGGACTCGAGCTCTTGATGAGATAAAGCTTCGGATTTTTTGAGCGTGGACTTCTTGGGCATCGTTTTTCTCTGACTGGGTGGGTAGGGGCCGGTTGGAGAGGTGGGGGAGAGCGGTGGTGGAGATTACAGTGAGAGTTACATAAAGTGAGGAAATCGACATTGGGTTTTTTATCGGGTTTTATCGTGTGAGCATTATCATCGTGGTGAGAGGATTGGAGGAAATGGGAGGATTGGAGCGCGAGAGTTTGGTGGGTTTTATTGAGGGTTTGGGGTTTGGGGATAGAGAAGAATGATGCGCAAAGCCCATAAGATTGGACAGGCGCCACTGGAGATGTTGCAAGCAATCGGGCTCTTGTGTTTTGGATTTGATAGTTGAAAACATTATTGGGAGGGGTTGGCCATTGTAGACTGGGAAAGGAAAAATTTGCCCATGAAATTTGACCACCACGTTACAAGACTTGACTGAAAGGATTTACTGGTAGTGTAAACGAAACACCATAGTTTGAAGGACCTCCGGCAACTGTAATGAGTTCCAGTAACCCAAATGCCAATACAGGGTATAGTTAAGGGACCATATGCTGCGCGGCACGACCGCGAAAAACACTTAAATATTTTTTTAATTAGACAAACTAATGAGTGAGAAGTGGATTGAATTTTATATAACTATGGCAAGCAGCGAAAAAACACAATCAAAAATGAAATGACAGTGACCAAATTTGATAGCGAGACAAAAAGGAGGTTTAGCACAAACAAAAACAATGTCATGTTCTAACTTCATTATGATGATCTTTACTAGCATTGCAAGAGGTACAAAAACATGTTGTGCAACACATCTATATGCAAAGAATATAAATTCCACCTTTTTCCAAATATTTCAATATCAACGCCAAAGTACTTTCATGTAGGACATCTCACCAACCCATAAACTTGGTAGGGATGTACAGTGAAAATTATTATGATCATGAGACAAACTATTCTCTGGTTGACTTCCGTTAGGTAGGCTCTAATTTCCTTGTGTAAAAAGCTATGCCAAACCACAATGCCAAAATCTTTTTTAAAAATCTATTCTCCTTCCTTTCCCAGAAGCACCTTTTTTAAAATAAAATAAAAAAATTTAATGAGTGAAAAAGTTTGGACCATTTTTTATTGTGCTTGTAAACAACACCTCAACAATTCCAACTAGTAAGTACTGCTAAACGATCCGCTGTGATAGAAATCGATATGATAGATGCAATCAAAATCGGCGTAATAGGTTATCTTCTGCTGCAAAGTAAGTCAATCTCTTTTCGCAAGCCATGACAACAACACAGCAGGTGTAAGAAGCAAGACATATCGAGCATTAATTTGGAAAAGCATGTCTGATTGGGAAAAAGGCGCAAGCATTATCAAATGTGGCAGTAACATAAATGATGTTGCATCCGAGAGAAAGACGGTAGGGCCAAAGGGCAACAATTCCCAAAAAAAAAATAAAAAAAAAATTGAAACTCTAAATATGTATTGTGAAAATTTCTCTCTCTTCTTATATGCTGGAGAGGTCAAAACTAAACAAATTAAATATATAAAGTATAAACTAATAATGCAAACTATAAGGGTCATTTTATTATTATTTTTTAGTAATAAAATAGTATCGCCTTGCGCTAAGACCTATTATATTAATTTTCTCTATAATAATATACTTTAAAGAGATAGTTATAAATTTTAAAAAGAGATAGCCCGCGGCTATACTATTTGGACTGTGGACAAAGTGGCCGCTGGGGTGCCGCGGTGGTTTTTTTTAAATTATAAATAGTAAACCGTGGGCTATATCACACGTGTTTTTTTTAAATCAAAGCGTATAGTTGGGCAGCATACCACGGTTTTTATTATGTAAAAAATAATAGCCACACTTGGTAACTGGCGCGCTCTGCCAAGGGCGGGGACCATTTTAAAAAAAAAATAGTATGCATGATGCTATACCGGATTTTTTATAGTGAAAATATTATCACCCCCGCGGGCTATATACTATTATAAAAAGCAACCCAGTTTGCTGTGGGGCTCTCCAATGGCGAGCTCCATGTCCTGAGCTTGCGCCGGAAGATGAAGGATAAATGGCCGTAGGTTTGCCCGTTGGTTTGACTTGACACCAAGTTGGAGAGCGCGAGCCTGTGGAATCCGAGGGCATCGTCCTTAACAAAGTGATCTCTAGATTAATATAGGCCGCAAACATTAATACTAACATCTCTAGATAATGCATGCTGTGTATAGTTTAGGCATTTTCAGTAACAACTTTTATAAAATCTAAAATCTAAATCCTCAACAAAATAATTCAGAAGTTTCTTTGAAAATTTGCAGCCATTATTCTTTAAGTTTTCACTATTTTTTCTTGTGCACTTGGTCTCTCTCTCTCTATGATGATCTTTACCACAGTTTCAAACAGCATTTTTGAGCTAAAACTCACCAATCTCTCTTCATAATTTCATTGGCCAAGCCAAAAATATTGAAGACAGAGGAAAAGAGTGGAGACGATTGATCAGGTCACTAGTTATAATTTTAGGCGAGGGGATTGAATCTCTAAGAGAAATTTAAAGATAACCCAATACAGATCTGATCTGAAATAAAAATAAAAAATCAGAGGGCATCCATTATTAATGCAATCTACAAGCAACGGAACCCTATGAGGGTTCAGAAATGCATATTTATGTCTTGTGTTTTGCTGGTGGTTTTTGCGCTTTTAATGAAGTATTTTCAGACCCAAAAAAAAACATTAACGTCAATTTGATGGAAGTAAATTGCTGGATGTCTCAAAGGAGAATACATCATTTCACGCATCTACTTTGTTGTTGCAAATGCATAACTTATGCTGCTGTCCCTCCTCACGGTTTTGCACTGACTTGATTGCTCATATAGAGAAAATTGGTCTTTTATGCTCGGTTGAACAGTTCTTCAGCATGGACGTATTGAAATATGATTGAAAGGGATTAAATAATGATCAAACCAATATTCTAGATGCAGTTATGAAGAAACTGGTTGTCGAAGGTTATGAGCAATGAAAAAAAAAAAAATTTGCAGTCTAGGTAAACTAAGTTTAATTCTTCAAAAAATTTCTTCTTCCCTCTCATTTTTTACCTGTCAACCTGATTTGATTGGCTCAATAGTCAATATGAAATATAAAAAACAAGGATGGGTTCCTTTCTTTATTTTCTGCTCCTTTTGATAACCTGCTCCCCCGCACGTTGTTAGCAAATGCCCTGAAATTTGTCCCCACAATCCAACACAGTAGTGTAATGCTTTTCAGGCCTTTACCCTGTTTCATCCTAGGGGTCATATTCTCACATGATCACTTATAATATATAGAAATTTCTTTGCCAAATTTAAGGAAAAATATTTGAACTTCTTCCCTTTCAGACACTTGAGGCAATACTTAAGGAACTTACATGCAGAAAGACGCTAATTGGGTGTCGCCCACAATGAATGGTCTTATCAAACTCCGACAGATACTGTTTGAATGCATCTGGATTTTTCCAGTTTCTATTAAATCCATTCCCATCCTGTCCAAAAGCCTCAACTCGACTACTTGTTCAGAGCTATCGACAATTTGAGAAATTTCAAACGAATGCAATCTTAAGTCACAGCTTCAAGATGCACAGTAAAAAATAGGAATGGTGGAAAGAGCTAACCGTTATGTTGTTGATAAAACGTGAGTCGCTAAAAACTCAGCTAGATGATTTGCAGAGGTGGCAGACCCGCCAGGAAAAAAGAAATCAAAAAAAAAAAAACGTCATTCAAGTTTTCCAAAAATGGGCCGCCTAGGCGGGGCTAGGCGGGTCCTTTTTATTTTATTTTATAATAGTATAGCCGAGCGGCTATACTGTGAAAAATATATTTAAGTATGGCCGTGCGGCTATACTCTTGAAATAATATATTTAAGTACTGCCGCACGGCTATACGCCTTAAAATAATATATCTATAAACAATACGATTTTGGACACGTGGTGAAGCGGGCTAGCTCTTAATTCATTGATATAGAGAACTGGAAAATAATCAATTAAAAATTGATACGTAAGTACTTACAAATGCAGTTGCCTTCCCCTTGCTGTTTCGATAGCCTCTGGATCTACAAAATGTAATCAAACCAGTGAACACACTACCCAAAGTTTAGTCCAAAGCAAGCTTAATCATTTTCACAAGGAAACTCACACTAAATAGCAAAAAGACTGCAAAATAGAGTTATAAATTGACAAACTGGAAAGTTAGGACCTAAGAAGCTGCCACCGATACCAACAGCAATGACATCCTTCAGGGCTTTTCCTGTGGCACCAACCCTACCAGAATTGCCAATTACTTCACAATTCAGGCAATATTGTCCCAAAATGGATGCTAAAAAAAATTGTAGTGATTACCCAAAATCCACTTCGAAAACTCTCAGAAATGGATCTTGCATCCCTTGGACCACATTTTTCCCATCACTCTGTATAACTGCATCCCTTGTGAGCATGAAGAGCTACATGAAGCACTGATGTATTTTCTGTGCTGTTTATCTGAAGGCACCACCCAGAAAAAGAAAAACAGAAAGCAAAAGAATCACATGATAATTGCTTCAGAAATAAGCTGTGGTCTCATCTTTACCATAAATCGTATAAAGCTATCAAATATAAGTTATTGTGATTTCAGGGCTTTTCCTGTGGCACCAACAGATACAATCTCCACTCAGACGAGGTAGTTTGTTTGTTCTTGTAAAAAACCAAACAAATCATGCTCGATGTTGTGATGAAGCAAACCTGAAAAATTTGTCATTGCCTTCATTTATATATGTTGCAGGTTACAGGGAAGCTTGAAGGTCACGCTAAAAGAGCCACTAGCCTTGCCTTCTCGAACATATTGGAAACTACAATTACTTTCAGATATGGCTTCTACTCTAATGTGACTTCTGTCATTTAACGACGTCATTTTGGCCCTGCATATGTTTGTGTGGGGTGCTGCTGGGTGGGAAAAACAGAGAAGCAAATTGAAAGGGATGAAATAATGATCAAAACCAATATTCTAGATGCAGTTAACTGAAGAGCTGGAGTCAAACTTATGAGCAATGAAAAAGAACCCATTTTGCAGTCTAGGTAAACTAAGTTTAATTCTTCAAAAAAAGACCCTCACATTTTCCCTCTCAACCTGATTTGATGTCTCCAATATGTCAATATGAAATAGAAATAACAATCACTATGCGACGAAGATCTATTTCCAGATCAGAAAGCAAAATTTCCCTTGAGGCCATTAACAAGTGAGAACATTTTTTTGAAGCTTCTTATACTCTATACATAAACAATCTTGAAAAAAAATACCATGTTCTGCATGTTTTTGGTTCATTCTTGATCTCAAAAGTTTTTGCCGAAGGTAACGAGGAGTTATTCAAAGAAATGCATCAAATGTGTATGGGTTCAAATCCAACAGGGATCATAAGGCACTCTCTATGTGTGGAGATATAATGTCTATGATGAAGGAAAATGCTAGATCATTATTCATTATCATATAAAATAAGGTAAAACAAGCACCATATATGTATCTCTTCAATATGATTGATATATTTGCCAATGATCCTGGTACAACAACTTGTATAAGAATTGAAGATATATTATTACATAACATTCTATAGTACTATTAGCTACTATATTTTTCACATCAGAAAAATATTAAAATAAAATTCAAAAAATCACTGCTCTTATCATCGACCTCGAGGGTCTTGCCATCTGTTGGTACTAAGCAATGAATCCCATCCTTTATCTACAATTAAGAATCATACAAGACATCAACTATACATGCAAAACCATATAGAAAAGATGAAATTTTTTGACTGTCAGCTCAACACATGACCTCTATCAAATACAAGGGCATTATCAATTCTCACAAGAACAAGGACATTCTCATGCTGTTCTCTGAGTTGTAAGTGACATGTTGCAGGACATTCATTGGAGACGTGCTGCAGAGAAGGATTCGATCAACTGATATGTGTATGGCACATTCGAATCATGATCCACTGGGGAAACAACAGGCGGCTGCTGGAAATGATTACTGTTTAGATGATCATTTCCTTCATTCTCATTGCCTGGAAAGGGCTGTGGGCTGTATTTCAGTGCTCATGTCATTTATATTGACAGGGAAGCTTGTATTGCAGCCAACACCAAGCAGGGTGTCTTGCTCCTGTGAAATGTTGCATTGGGCTGTGACATAATCAATCAATTGTTGGTCATCAGAGACCTGTGAATTTGACAGTTACCCAAAAAAAAACAAAAAAAAACTATTTGTGAGAGATGTGACCAAAATAAAATTTCAAATCTAACATAAGAAATTAAAGCAAGGTTTGAGTGAAGCATCATAAAACACCATACATCTTTGGAGACAAACAGCTCAATCAACCCTCTGCACTTGGAACCAAAACTCTGGTCCCATCTTTCCTGCAAAATGTAAGTAGAAATATACAGTTGCATTTAATTATATGTTCAGAAAAGGACTTTCTTTTGGAATTAGCTAGGGAAAATGGGAACTTGTGAGCTCACTGCCATGGCACTCGAATCTCTGTTGGAAGATGAGTTCAACCAAATGGGCTGGTTTGATATTAATGGATGTGCATAAATACTGCTCATGAGCAGCCATGGTTAAGGATATAATAAAACTAATTAATTTCTTTTGTCAAGATATGTACGGTAATTGGTAATTATGATTGAATGAGTAAACAAAAATGCTAAAATGAAAAGGATATACAGGTACCCAGAGTCTAAGGACAGAGTAGAAGGAAGCTGAGCAAGAAGATCACAGGAATTTGTTCTTGAGTGCTGCATTGTATCTCTGCATGGAAGGACTGGATAAACTGGAAAAATAAGTTCATTTCCTCCATTAGTCTGAGTGTTCTCATCAGCCCCAGAAAAACAAAAATCCATCAACTCAATAAACCTAAAAAATCTAAAAATTAGTCACAAAAAGAAACATGAATTAGTAACTGTTAATTAAAAAGTTTCTCTTAACCTTCGGATTTCACTCAATTTCCAAATAACACAATAATCCTAGCCTTTCAAACCCACAAGGGGCCTAAGCCTCTCAGTCAGATTTTGCATAATGATGGCATATCTACAGAGAATTTATTCAATAATGGATATTTCTTTAAAGAACAATCTATCGAATCTCATAATATGCAGAGATAATAATATTCCAAAAGCCACAAGAGACTTCAATTTCTGAAATTCTTGTTACAATAATTCCTCAAAAGCTCCTTCACCCAGCCAGTCATGACTCATGGCCAAAACCAAAAGTTCCAGCCACTTCATTAAACTACCCACGTGCAAAACAAGAAGAAAAACAGATTCGGATCAAACACTTTCCTCAAATTACACCAACCAGTAGTGACACAAAAAAAACAACAGATTATAATGCAAACTGCAAGCCCATTCCCAGATCTTGTGCTTGCTTCGGCTTCCAAATCTCAATCTCAAGCTCAAATTTGCAGGTAAACTTTTTCAATTTCGGGTTTCAGACTTTCAGTCAATCGCAGTGTTCAAAAAATGGGGCTAGGCGGACGGCTAGGCGGCTAGGCGGGCGCTAGCGCTAGGCGGCGCTAGGCGGGCGCTAGGCGGCTGGGCGGGCCTCCTAGGCGGGTTGGGTCATTTTTCGGTGCCGAACAAGCAGGACGAAGCAGCCGAAACTTGACTGCGTCTGCAAGCTCCGTCCTATGCGACTGCAAGCTTCGTGTTTGTTTCAAATGTATTCAAAGCGTATAGCCGAACGGCTATACCCTTAAAAAATTCGAATATATTATACATGCAATGCGATATTAGGAAATGAAAGTATAAAATATCCAAATGTATTTAGAAAGTAAAGCCGCACGGGGCTAGAGTTATTTCTTCAATTATTTGATTTATACATGCAATGCGATATTAGGAAATGAGAATTTAAATTCTTTATGATACCTCACATTCTAATGATTTCCAGCTATTAGCCATTGGGCAAGAATAAAAAATGAATTTTTGTTTTTCTGTTTTTGTTTTTTTGTTTTTTTGTTTTGTTTTTTTTTGAGAGGAAGTAGTAAATGTTCATTAAAATTGTGAAATGTTACAGACTCGAGCGAAGAAACGTGGTGTTCATTAAAATTGTGAAATCTTAAATTAAAGAAACGCCATTCAAGTTTTCAAAAATTGGCCGCCTAGGCGGGCTAGGCGGGTCCTTTTTAAAAAAAAACAAAATAGTATAGAGAACAGAGCAGAGAGGCCATTGCCGGGGTGGTTGGTCGTCCTGACCAGACTTTTTAGTAACCTGAGAAGTTCAGTGGATGGTCATTGCCGGGGTGGTTGCTTGTGTCATTGACTCTTAGGCAAAGTTGATATATACAGAACAGAGCAGAGAGGCCATTCACTCGCATAGTCGCATTCATACCTTACAAGCTATATCTATTTCTTTCTCTGCTTAATTTCTTATCCTTCCTTTCTTTTCTTTTCTGGTAAGTTCTTATCCTTCTTTCCGGATTGAGTGAGGCACCTTCAATTGCGTTTTACTATTATAGGGGAAACTTCTGTTTTTGTTTTTTTTGTTTTTTGTTTTTAATTATATATATTTTATGAAGAGCCACTAGATATGCTTTGGTAAATTAGATTTATTTGGTGAACATCATGGAGTTCATGGACTTATATAATTGTTTATTTATTTGCTTATAGTAAGGAGAGGGCAATAATCAAACTCTTACTATATATTTTATCTCTAAAGAGCCCCGTTGTTTAATTTATAATTTTAGAGTAAGGTCTTGATGGAGACACCCCAATCCCATGTAGACCCATTGATTTTGACACACAACTTCAAGTTGAGCCTTTTATTATTACAAACTCTGATGCTAGGGACAGGTTTCAAACCTCATACTCAGACTCAATATGAGGTTAAACACTCTTAACTACTACGGTATGACTCCACTGGCCATCCCAACTTCAATGTAGGAATAAAAACTCTAAAACTATATATATACTTTAAAATACCTTATTCCAAACGAAAAAAGATTATATCAAACTATTAAACCAAAACTTTATTAAGTATTCCGTTAAAATCAATATTAAAAAAAATTTGCTAAGGAAAATTTATATCAAGTTCGCAATAACTAAGAAAGTTTATTGTGACTTCGACAAAACAAAAAGAGTAAAGATGATTGTGTGATACAAAAATATAATTACGTGGTATAACCAGTCAAGATATTATAATTTGGGTAGATCATATCATTGCTCAATAATAAATTAGTAAACTTCAGTCATATACTTTGATGTGCTTAGTGCAAAACATAAGGTTACGCAACGAAAAGAAAACCTTTATACATTTATGAGGGCCTAATAAATCACCGAAGTAATCGGTCCATCTAAGAGCATCTCCAACCGATGTATCAAAAGTGCCACATAGACATTTAACGGCTAGAAATGACATCTCACATTAGTAATATGGATTGGGTAGGCAAGAGTGTATACCAACACATGGAATGGATATCAATTACATAGCTTATATATAGGTTTTTTTTTTAGTGAAATATTTTTGGGTAGGCGGTAGCCTACCCTGCCCTGGCTTAAGATCCGCCCCTGCACATTACTCCAACCGATGTGTCAAAGCTGATGTGGAATGAAGGCTGGAGGTTGAGATGTTATTTTTGACATCCCAAAAGTAAGATGTCAAATTAATATTTTATTATTTTTAAAGATAGTTGGTTGTTACTTTCATTTGTTATTTTCCTTTTTATATTTTTTTTCTTCTTTATCTTAAATGATTTGACTGTTACAATAATTATTTATTTGACATATCGGGTGGAGTGTAAAACTGTGTAAATGTCAAATTGCCACATCAGCCATCAAATTTAAATTTGATGTTTGGTATTTGACATCTCCCTTGGAGATGCTCTAATATGTCAACCACTTTGCAAGATATAATGGCCCTGTATTGTACCCACTCAAATCCTAATGGGTCATCAATCTGTCCCATTGGGCACATCCATGTCGTTCTTGGATAAATTTGGGTCGAAAATACCCCCAGTATTTTCAAGTTAATGCTCCTACAGCCCACCCTGGTTAAGCCGTTAACTTATCGGCTACAGCACACACTATTTTTTATCAATTTATCATAGGAGTTTATGATCCAATAAGATTTTCTTCATTTGTGTATAAAAACAACAATGTAATACGTAAGGGATTTGTAGCTCAAATGATTTAAGAGTATTTATCTTTGTAACCGAGATTCTAGGTTGATTTCCCCATTCTCTCAATATGTATCAAAAAGCAACAATGTAATGCAAAAATGTAATTTAATTGCACCTAGCTAGGAATCCATGTACAATCTCATACATTATAATAATACTAGAGTCATAAAAAATTGTCCCAAATTTAAGTCGCCAAATAAATATATGACATGCCGTTATCTTACTTACTAGAAACAATAAAGTTTAAAGTGGCACCATATATGAATAAATGAAACACTACTCATCATTTCGGATATGAAATTTTGGTATTTGTTTTGACATCCCTATCATTACTCTTTTTCATCAATGGTATCCTTAAGGTCACCTTGAACAAATCGACTCCAGTACCAATGCTTCACCCACATCGTATGCACTTGATCCAATGGGATTCCTTTCGTCTCTGGCAAGAAAAGCACGACGAAGACGGTCATTGCCAGAATCCAACCACCGTAGAACAAGAATGTGGTATATTTTAAATGGCATAGCACAAATGTAACACCGAAGTTGACAGCAAGCCCCATGCTTTGGCCTGTGGGTCGAATTTTCATGGGGAAAATCTCACTTGGTATAAGCCAACTCAAAGGACCCCATGACCAACCAAAACCAGCGGCATATATACACATCAACACCAGAACTAGTATGGCATAGCCCTTTGAGATGTGCTCGTTGCCATCGGTACCTGTTGTATTTCACCTGCACATAGTGGCTTTCATTCTAGGTCCTTTGACCATAAACCCAATCAGTTTAATTGTGAGGGTTTCATACTCAAATCAAATGTATTATCTTTCAAGGTCAAATTATACATACCTGACAGATGACCATTTGGATGCCACCCTCCATGAACAAAAACCTCCGACCATGACGATCAACCATGTACGTCGACACAAGGATCGAGCCAAGATTAACCAACCCAAGAATAATAGACGCAATGAGAGCAGAGTCGTTGCCAAACCCTACAGACTGAAACAACACAGGCGCATAGAAAGCAATGATATTAATACCAGTGACCTGCTGAAAAAACGGCACGGAAATGGCCCCGATCACAAGCTGAGGCCTGTACTGCCTCTGAAATATGGTCACAAATGGCTCCTCGTTGAGAGCTTTGGCGATCTCGCTGGCCTTAACGAGCTGGGCAAGTTCTGCTTCGATATCCTCCTTGCCTCGGATTTTGATGAGAGATTTTCTGGCTTGGTCTAGTCTGTTGCATTGTACTAAGCTTGTGGGTGAGTCTGAGATGAAGAGGGCGCCAGTGGTCATGATGGTGGCTGGGACTATGGCTAGGCCTAGGAGAGGCGCCAGCCCCAGCTGTGCTTCGAGGTGGCGTAGTTTATGCAGTTGGAGGCCACCATCCCGATTCCGATGCAGAACTGGAAGCCTGTGCTGAATACGCCGCGCCACTTGGGTGGTGTGATCTCTGAGAGGTAGATTGGTACTGTTTGGACATTGTTAGAAGGGGATGTTAGTAAATGTGGATTCATACTAAGCAATGCAATTGGTTTTCTTATTTTTTATTTTTTGACAAGACAATTCTAAACTATTATAATGTACGAGTTGTAGTTGAATTTTTGTGCAAGAAGAGGAGTGGGTAGAGACACAATGCTTCGGTAAACTGACTAACCCACATTTGCATGCAATATTACTCCAATACGCATTATAACTGTGAGATTAATTAAATACCTAAATGCCTAAAATTTCGTACATTGTTAATGCAATTTTTTATTTTTATTTCTTAACAACAATGGGGGAGAAATAAAATTAGGCCAAGACCAATTGATAAACTAGGTATTTTAGTACCTTGTCATATGTAATCGAGTCTCTAGAGAAAATATCATAAGTTCAGGATAAAACTCTTCGTACGATCTCAATTGATTTGTGAGACACTTTTTTGGGCTCCACATCTTTATTCCAAAGATGGTCCATAGGCAATCACAGTGAGATGGTACAAATATGGAGAAATTTTTTTGCGTGATTTGTTTTTGACATGTGACAGTATTGAGTGGAAATATCAAGTGAGAAAATAATCTAATTAAAGATGACATATATTAAGAAAATAAAAATAAGCATTATTTTAACTGAATTATTCAACCACTTAACATTGCCGTGACGGTATAAACAATGCCACTTTTTGTCAATACTCCTATGTTAGAATTTGGAAGAAATTATTGGGTCCAAAATCGCATTTGATGGGCTATATTATTAGCAAACCCAAACTTTTTTTTTTGGTCAAGAGCAACCCCAAACATAGCGCTAGAGATTGGTAGACTTACTTGGTTTGTGAACGCATCACCAAATCCAAGCAAGATACGGCCCAAGATAAGCATGGCAATATTGACAGCCCCACCATTAATAGCAGACCCAGCAAAGAAGGTACACCCACCCCCCACCCAGCACCATGACATTCCTTCGCCCCACTATCCTGGCCAGACGGCTGGCTACAAGTGAGGCAGCCAAACCCGCTATGTAGAGAGAGGATGTGAAGGACGTCAAAACTTGACTATCATACACACAATAAATGTTTTTGGGGGAACTTCCTGCTTCCTTTCTCAGCACTGATGGGAAAAATTTATTCAGAAATGATGGCATTGTTGTCACTCCTCCTGAAAAATTTGTGCATTTTCATGGTTAATTTCATGCATTTGATCAGCAAACTATTCACTTTAATATGATAAGTATAGTGCTAGGTAGGTTTAATATAATCAACGTGTCATTTAGTTCATTATGTCTGATACCAACACGTATTAAAATATAAATTTTTCTGACATAAAGATGTTGGCGAAATTGAGCTGGTTAGCTCGGCCACATCTTAATTCTATTATCAAATAGTTTGATATGTTGTAAAAACTAATAAGTAAGATAGAATTTAATTTCAAATGTGTGGTTCTTAAACAAAGGTTCACGTTCAAACATTGGCGGAACCACATAAAAAATAAACCTATATCGCCAAGTATTTTAACTTAAAAATTTAAAAAAAATACACAATTTCATACTTTACCAATACCAATTGGCATAGTCAGAGGTCTTCCGTGTTTGTATTTGGTGTCAAAGATTGTTGCAACACCAATACGCATAGTAAGGGTAAAGTCTTAGCTCTAATTCTCCAATTTTAATCTTTTTTATTAATTTGTCTCCAAAAAAAGAAGCATTTTTTAAATGAAATTCACCCTTCCGTGAATAATATGACTATAATTTCATTTGTTTTTTTTTCTTGTGTTTGCAACTAGCGTGATTTATATAATAGTATACTTTTATTTCTAGAAACTGTTTTTTTTTAATATTTATAAATATAATTAGATTTTAACCTAATAACTTTAACAAACCCACCTTCTGAAATTCATGGTTCTGCCTTCTAGTTCAAATTTATGTAATTGCAACATATAAAAGTAGGACGTAACATAATATGAAAATAAAAGTCAAGATGATGCTACTCATATAATAATGAGAGGGAGAGAGAACTGTATAATTCTTTGTTTAATAATATGAATCACTTAACCAAATGATAATGAGGGGAAGAGTAAATGCAAAACCCAAATTGGTTTCGATTATTAAAATTGATTAGATCTCTACGTTATCTTCTTAATAATAAAATAAAATAAAGTAAATAAAAATCATGGGACACCCAACCTAACCTAACAGTCAACAGCATTCAGTCGCAAATTTGTTGTCAATTATGGAGATCGGAAAAATCTGTTTTGTCCTTTTTCTTTTCCAAGATCATAGACTTTTGACAAATAAACCAAACTCTACCCAACCCAACCAAAACTTGAGCTGCCAAAGCCTAGCTGGCTATGTAAAAACATCATCCCGATTCATGAAATAATATCAACTCATGAATTATGAGAGCTAGCTAGCTGCCAAGGGAAAGGCCCAAGATTCAACATGTCCCTTGTAGGTAAGATTTGTTCTCTTCGTAGGATATAGGCAATGGATATTATTACTTTCAATTTAGCTTTTGACATTTAATACATACATTGTCATTGTCACGGTATAAAAGTTAGAAAGACTTATTTTACGTCGAGTGATTTTTGCGCGTGTGTGAGAAATTTCTGATCGTATCAACGTAGAATCCGCATTTCATTAATGGGTCGAAATAATTACTAGAAAATAACTATCAACTAATATTGTTTAAGTTGAACGGTGACTACCCATAATTCTAATATTTGCAGGCTACAACTACTGAACTCAATTTCACTCATCAATTGCAAATTTGGAACCCCCTCATGCTTCTTCTTGTAGTTCTTTTTAACTTTTAGTTTTTGGATAGTTTTGTTAGGTGAAAAACTTCATTAAACAGGGAAAAAAAATGTATTGCCGAACGGCTATACTACAGTTTTTTATTATAAAAATTGTATAGCCGATCGGCTATACTCAGTGTTGTTTTAAAATAAAAATAGTATAGCCGTTCGGCTATACTTGGATTTTTTGACACTTGGCGAAGCAGGCGATAGAAGCCAGGCAGTGGTATTTTTTTTAAGGGAGTTTCACTAAAACACCCAAAATGAGGGCTGAAATTATAAAAAAACCCAACACTCAAAACACTTTATAAACACACCCAAAACCCATCATTACACACACTCAAAACCCATTTATAAACACACCCAAAAAATATACAATTATTGATTTTGAGGTTGATTTTGGGTGTGTTTCTATGTTTAAATAGTGCTTGGGTTTTTTTACAAATACATGTTTAGGATTGAGTTTATTTATAAATTTGTATTTTTTTAATTATAAATAGTATACCTAGACGGCTATACTCAAGGTTGTTTTAAAATAAAAATAGTATCGCCGTGTGCCTGTACTTTAATTTTTTGACACGTGGCGAAGCAGGAGCTAGAAGCCAGGCGGTGGACTTTTTTTTAAATTATAAATCGTATAGCCGTGTGGCTATACTCGGATTTTTTTATTATAAAAAATGTATAGCCAAACGGCTATACAACAGTTTTTTATTATAAAAATAGTATAGCCGGACTGTGGTCCTTTTTTTTTAGGGAGTTTCACTAAAACACCCAAAATGGGGGCTGAAATTATAAAAAAACCCAACACCCAAAACACTTTATAAACACACCAAAAACCCATCATTACACACACTCAAAACCCATTTATAAACACACCCAAAAAATATACAATTGTTGATTTTGGGTGTGTTTCTATGTTTAAATAGTGCTTGGGTTTTTTTTTTTATAAATACATGTCTAGGATTGGGTTTATTTATAAATTTGTATTTTTTTATTATAAATAGTTTAGCCGTGCGGCTATACTCGGATTTTTTATATTAGAAAAATGTATCAACGAACGGCTATACTACAGCTTTTATTATCGTATAGCCGAGCGGCTATACTCAGTGTTGTTTTAAAATAAAAATCGTATAGCCGTTTGGCTATACTTGGATTTTTTGACACTTGGCGAAGCAGGCTCTAGAAGCCAGGCGGTGGTATTTTTTTAATACAAATTTATAAATAAACCCAATCCTAGACATGTATTTATAAAAAAACCCAAGCACTATTTAAACATAGAAACACACCCAAAATCAACCCCAAAGTCAACTTTTTGGGTTTGTTTATAAATGGGTTTTGAGTGTGTGTAATGATGGGTTTTTGGTGTGTTTATATGTTTAAATAGTGCTTGGGTTTTTTTATAATTTCAACCCCCATTTTGGGTGTTTTAGTGAAACTCCCTTTTTTTAATTATAAATAGTATAGCCGGACGGCTATACTCAATGTTGTTTTAAGATATATAGCCGTTCGGCTGTACTTTGATTTTTTGACAAAGCAGCGCTAGAAGCCAGGGGGTGGTCTTTTTTAATTATAAATCGTATAGCCGTCCGGCTATAACCTTTACATATAAAAATAGAAAGAGCTCGGAACCTAAGAGCTGTAATGGTGCGGTGGGTTCTGTAAAGAGCACCATAACAACGATAAATGGAAAACTCAGACTCTGACGAGCCAGAGAAGAAGAGGCCTCATTTAAACTCACTTTCGCCCACCGTGGCTCGTAGCTCCACCACTTCTCCACCCAATAACCATAGCGTAATCCCTCTCTCTCTCTCTCTCTTTAAAAAATGAAAATAAAAAACTGTGATTGATGGGTGATTGGAGTTTGGGCAATTTCTGCTTTGGATGTGCTTTTGAGAATGTGAAAAATTGTACTACGCTCTGTTTGGTTGTTGAGGAAGTATAAGAAAAGGGATATAAGTTACAGAATTGGAATTTTTGGAGTATAGGGTGTAGGTTAGAGGGTTTCTGTGTATTAATTGTGTAATTGGGGCCTTAAAGCATCATTAATCTCTAAGTTGATGAAGTCACTTCTGAAGTTAGATGAGCATGCATTTAGATGAGCGCACATTGATAGTTCAATGCATTTCAAGTACACTTCAATTTTGATTTGAGATAGGAAGTAGATTGAAATGTATTGGTATTTTGTGTACGTACTATACGTGCCCCAGGTCGATGCAGCAGTTCTCCAGTACCAGAACCAGAGACTTCTTCAGCAAATAGACAAACCGAAGCATGATTTGCAAGATCTTGAAGCCAAAATTAAGGAACTAAAGGATAAGCAAGGTTTACCCCTGTTTGGTGATGTTACCACCTTTTGATTGCGCGTTGAATATGTAAATTTTCTGTTATGGGTGACAGGTGAGCTGGATGACAGCATGACTGAACTAGAGGAGAGTAGGAGAAAACTAGTGAATCTGAAAATGCAAAAGGATGTCGCATCTGGGATGCATAACCTTACTTCTGGTGCAGTGAATGGAACCCTATCACCTGAAAAATCAACAGAAGCGACAATAAGCTTGCGGGAACTTAAGAAATTCAATCGAGGAAACAAAGGTATGGATAATGCCAAAACTCCTTTGTACCAGCTCCCTTTCTCACTGTTTCGCTAAAACCCCAGCTTGATGTATTTGCAGAGATGCCAGACCCGCCAGGAAGAAGGAAATCTGAAAGAAAAAACTACGCTGTTCAAGTTTTCCAAAAATGGGCCGCCTAGGCGGGCTAGGCGGGTTCTGTTTTATATAAATAAATAGTATAGCCGCCCGGCTATACTCCATAAATAATATATTTGAACAGTATAGCAGTTCGGCAATACCCTTATTTATTTATTTATTTATTTTTAAATGTAAATTTTTTCTTGCCCCAGATTCATTCTTTCTTATGGAACGGATGTGCCTGGCTGCCAATCAGTGTCGTTGGCCAATCACGACTAGTGTAAATTTCGATCAACACCCGTTTCTCACCTAAGCTTTAGGTTCACTATCTGGTTTTGGAACATGGCCAAAAACTTGAGAATTAAAACTTAAAATCTAAGCTCAGTATCCTAACATATCAACTCTGTCAAGAATGGTGTGTACCTAAAATCTAAGATCCATACCCCAAACTCTGTCAAGGATGGAGTGCAACTTTTATTTCGCTTTGCCACCTCTCACCGAGAGCCACTTTTTTGTATGAATATATTGACAGGATTATTACACAATTATGATGGATAGAGATTGAGTCCAGATGATCTTGATCACATTTCAACCTTGTCACTTGAGCCAAAACTCACCAATCTCTCTTTGACAAAGAAGAAAAGGGTCGGGACGATTGATCGGGATCACTAGTTATAAGTTTGGGCTCGTGGGGATTGAATCTCTAACAAAAATTAAAGATAAATAATACATGATCTGATCTGCAACTAAATATAAGAAATCGGAGGGTATCCATTATTAGTAGCAATCTACAAGCAGGAGGAACCCTATGAGGGTTCATGAAATGCATATTTATTTGAGTTAAACATCAAATAGCATCACCATCAACTCAATATGAAATAGAAATAACAAGGGTATCTTTAGGACCTTCGTCCTGATGAACTCAATAAATAGCATCACCATAAAAATCGAAAAGAAAAAAGCACATAAATTCAGAATCACCAACGGATAATGAAAAATTGTTAATTAAATTTAGTGATAATTGAATGTTTAATCAACTAAAGGCAAGAGAACAAAGGAAATTGCCATACTGTAAGATTAGTGCTGACTGCAACCATTCCATATGCTTTGCAACTGCATCAGGCCTGAAATTGTTACACTCAATCATGAGAAAGAGGACTAAATTTTATCTGACAAAATCAATGATTAACTACAAAGACATAATAAACCTTCACTCCGTCATACCATCTTGAGGACTAAATTATTCAATTATAAAATTACTAAGGTATTCAAAATATGATTCATTCCGCCCACTCCCAAGCTCATTCACGTTTGTTTAAATTAACCCAAAGATTATTAAGCAAATCCTGAACTGAAGCAACATGTTCATATACTTGAAGAAGTGCTAGCAGTGCACTGACCCGAGAGAAGATGAAATCCATTCCCTAAGGGTTCGAACATTCAACATAGTTTCAACTGTGTTGTAAAGGTGTTTAAAACTACCACAGCTGCAAATATCAAAAGAGTTATATATGCCACAAATATTTTTCAGAAACGGAATACTGCCACTTTTTATGGGCCATCCTCTCCAGCAAACATTCGGTTACTCTTTTTCTTTGAGGGATGCAGCCTGCATTGTGGCATAGACAACATTAATTAGAAAACACTATATTCACCCAATCCCTTCCCCCCACAAGACACTAGTTACGAATGGGCCAACACGACCTCTGCCAATTTCCAAGGTTTCAGGCGTGGTACGTTGCCTTGAGTAGTCCAACAGAATCCCGTCAAACTCACAATTAAGTGTTATGTTTGTTTTAGGTGAACCTGGAGATGCTACTAAGATTGAATCCCATACTCAAACTCATACAGATCCGACTATGGAGATCTAAACGGGAGTCGCTAAAACTCCAGCTTGAAGTATTTGCAGAGATGCCAAACCAGCCAGGAAAAATGAAATCTGAAAAAAAAAACGCCATTCAAGTTTTCCAAGAATCGGCCGCCTAGGCTGGGGCTAGGCGTTTTTATTTTATTTTATAAATAGTATCGCCTCACGGCTATACTCTTGAAATAATATATTTAAGTACGGCCGGGCGGCTATACTGCTTAAATAATATATTCAAACAATAAGATTTAGGACACGTGGCGAAGCGGGGGCTAGGCGCCAGGTAGTCCTTTTTTCCATAAATAGTATAGCCGTGCGGCTATACGCGGATATTTTTATAATAAAAATAGTATAGCCGCGCGGCGATACTCTTACTAGAGCCGGGTTTTTGTCAACAGTATAGCCGCGCGGCTATACTATTTGCATAACACACGTTGGTAGATTTTTACAGAATGCGTCTAATCCTTTATCCCAACTACCAAGACTACAACCAAATATTTACAGGGGTCCCTGAATATGGGCTATGTTTCTTCAACCACCACAAGTACAACCAAGCACACAGAATATAGATTGCTTTTTAAAAGGAAAAACAAAAAAAATTTGAAAGCATAAGTAAAAGCACGCCATGTCCTAAAATCCTATGTGCTGTATCAAATACAAAATGCTTCTCTACATGTCTTTAACAGATGAATGCATCCCTCCTTCAAGAACTATGCCACTGAAATAAACTCGTGAACACAGACAATCTCATTGTTCCAATCAGGTAGGTCCTAAAATGAAGGAGCTAAAAGAAAGCTAATATGTTTGACAGCAGTAGTGGGAAATCACTTCAAAAGCCTCAAGACATGGATTCATTTCATACCATTAGCATCTTACCAGCTCTTAATTCATTGATATAGAGAACTGGAAAATAATCAATTAAAAATTGATACGTAGTACTTACAAATGCAGTTGCCTCCCCCTTGCTGTTTCGATGGCCTCTGGATCTACAAAATGTAATCAAACCAGTGAACACTCCCAAAGTTTAGGCCAAAGCAAGCTTAATCATTTTCACAAGGAAACTCACACTAAATAGCAAACAAGACTGCAAAATAGAGTTATAAATTGACAAACTGGAAAGTTAGGACCTAAGAAGCTGCCACCGATACCAACAGCAATGACATCAGGGCTTTTCCTGTGGTACCAACCGATACAATCCCCACTCAGACGAGGTAGTTTGTTTGTTCTTGTAAAAAATAATAATAATAATCATGCTCGTTGTTGTGATGAAGCAAACCCGAAAAGTTTGTCATTGCCTTGATTTATATATTTTGCAGGTTACAAGGAAGCTTGAGGGTCAAGCCAAAAGAGTGACTAGCCTTGTCTTCTCGAACACTCTGAATGTACTAGTTTCTTCTGGTGCTGATGCATATTGGAAACTACAATTACTTTCAGACATGGCTTTTACTCTAATGTGACTTCTGTTATTTAACGACGTCATTTTGGCCCTGCAGATTTTTGTGTGGGGTGCTGCTGGGTGGGGAAAAACAGAGAAGCAAATTGAAAGGGATGAAATAATGATCAAAACCAATATTCTAGATGCAGTTAACTGAAGAGCTGGAGTCAAACTTAGAGTAATGAAAAAGAACCAGTTTGCAGTCTAGGTGAACTAAGTTTTATTCTTCCAAAAATGACCCTCACATTTTTCCTCTCAACCAGAGTTGTGGTTCTGGTGATGTTTTTGTTTTGAATCATCTGATTTACTTTCCGGTTCCTGCAATATATTATCCAACACTTTCTTACATGCTTCATGCCTAAGTTGTCTTTTCAACATCAGTGGATGGCAAGATCAAAATATGGTTATATGATAGCTTTGAAGGCAGTGCAGTACCAAACTGGCACATAGTGCTGATGTTCAAAGGTTCAACTTATATGGCCTGCGATTCCCATCTTTTATTTCCTGATTGATATCTTTGGGTGAATATGGTAATGTTAGTTTTGATTGAGGTCATGTAGGCTTTTTCATGTGGGATCAGCCAAGGAGGGAAACAATCAGAGCCAGGAGCGACCAAGTGTAAAAACATGGATTTGTTTTTTTGTTTTTTATATTAAGAGAGATTACATGAGCCTCAACTAAACCAACATCTTCCATTGCAAAAATGCGAAGAAGTGAACATTGAACTCCTCTCAAAGACTTTTTTTATATTTATTTCGTTCGAACTACACAAATATAAGAAATCCAGGCCTAGATTTCTTCTTTATGTCTTCTTTATGAATTTCTGACTCCTCAATCTTCTGCTTTCAAATACTTCATTCCTAGTCCTAGATCGAGGACACAATACAAAGATCATAGTAACCAGTACTGTGTTGTCTACTGGACTGCTGATCCTGGGCCTAACCCTGCTATTATATGTGAGGAAGAGCCAGCAACAAATATATGGTAAGCTATTTGATTTTCTACTCTTCTGCCCCTCCATCTTCTAAGATAGGTAGGTTCAGTTCTATAGAATTTTTTTGCTGTTGCCTCTCTGGTTTCTAAGCTAAGGTTCCATGCTACATTGTTTACTTCACTACGTACTTCACAGGAGAACTGAAGCCCGGCCAAAAGGAAGATCTGGAATTACCATTATTTGACTTGGCCGCTGTTGTTTGTGCAACCAAAAACTTTTCAAACAACAATAAACTTGGAGAAGGTGGTTTCGGATCAATCTTTAAGGTAAAATCAAATACAGTTCTTCCTACAGTTAGCTTGACAGTTTCCACATGTCATTTGGGTCAGGACTAAGGTGGTGTAATTTTTATTTATTTATTTATTTATTTTTTCTGTTCTTCGTGGGTTGGTTTTGTGTTCCTATGCAAGAGGAGGAGGAGACAAATCTTTCATTTTTTTTTTCTATCAGCAAACAAGAGGGCATGATCAAATGTCAAAATCTATAACAGAAATGCAATATCCAAAGAATGAAAAGCAGTCCAACCAAGAAGAACCATCAATGGATGAATATTGAATGCATAAATATTTATTAAGTTTCAAGCAAGAAGAACCAAACCAATCAATCTATTGCTTAACCAAACCAGAAATAAATAGTCAGAATTTGAGATTGGGGCCTAAAAACCGAACCTTGTTATTGGCAAGACCACCGAAACTCCATGTTAGGATAGCTTCATCATTTCCTTCCACCGAAGACAGACACCAAGTCAGCAAATTTTGTATTTAGGGTTCCCATGACTTGTGCTTGCTTCGGCTTCCAAATCTCAATCTCAAGCTCAAATTTGCAGGTAAACTTTTTCAATTTCGGGTTGCAGACTTTCAGTCAATCGGAGTGCTCAAAAAATGGGGCTAGGCGGACGGCTAGGCGGCTAGGCGGGCGTTAGGTTGCTAGGCGGGCGATAGGCGGCTAAGCGGGTGCTAGGCGGCTGGGCGGGCCACCTAGGTGGGTTGGGTCATTTTCCGATGTCGAACAAGGAGGACGAAGCAGCCGAAACTTGGCTGCGTCTGCAAGCTCCGTCCTATGCGAGTGCAAGCTTCGTGTTTGTTTCAACTGTATTCAAAGAGTATGGCCGTGCGGCTATATCCTTATTATATTCAAAGAGTATAGCCGCACGGCTTTACGTTTAAAATATCCAAATGTATTTTGAAAGTAAAGCAGTGCGGGGCTAGAGTTATTTCTTCAATTATTTTATTTATATGTGTGATATTAGGGAATGAGAATTTAAACTCTTTCTAATACCTCTCATTCTAATGATTTCCAGCTAGTTACGAATGGGCCAACCCCACCTCTGCCAATTTCCAAGGTTTCAGGCGTGGCACGTTTCCGTGAGTAGTCCAATAGTATCCCTTCAAACTCACAATTAAGTGTTATGTTTGTTTTAGGTGAACCTGGAGATGCTACTAAGATTGAATCCCATACTCAAACTCATACAGATCCGACTATGGAGATCTAAACGGGAGTCGCTAAAACTCCAGCTTGATGTATTTGCAGAGATGCCAGACCAGCCAGGAAAAATGAAATAGTAAAAAAAACGGCATTCAAGTTTTCCAAGAATTGGCCTCCTAGGTGGGGCTAGGCGTTTTTATTTTATTTTATAAATAGCATCGCCTCACGGCTATACTCTTGAAATAATATATTTAAGTATTGTCGCGCGGCTATACGTCTTAAATAATATATTTAAACAATAAGATTTTGGACACGTGGCGAAGCAGGCGCTAGGCGCCAGGTGGTCCTTTTTTCCATAAATAGTATAGCCGTGCGGCGATACGCGGATATTTTTATAATAAAAATAGTATGGCCGACCGGCTATACTCTTACTAAGCCGCGCGGCTATACGCGGATATTTTAATAATAAAAATAGTTTGGCCGCGGCTATACTCTTGCTAGAGCCGTGTTTTTGTAAACATTATAGCCGCGCGGCTATACTATTTGCATAAGACACTTTAGCAGATTTTTACAGAATGCATCTAATCCTTTAACCCAACTACCAAGACTACAACCAAATATTTACACAAAGAACGCATCTAACATAGTCCCTGAATATGGGCTATGTTTCTTCAACCACCACGAGTACAACCAAGCACACAGAATATAGATTGCTTTCAAAAATGAAAAACAAAAAAAATTTGAAAGCATAAGTAAAAGCATGCCATGTCCTAAAATCATATGTGCCGTATCAATTACAAAATGCTTCTCTACATGTCTTTAACAGATGAATGCATCCCTCCTTCAAGAACTATGCCCCTGAAATAAACTCGTGAACACAGACAATCTCATTGTTCCAATCATGTAGGTCCTAAAATGAAGAAGCTAAAAGAAAGCTAATATGTTTGACAGCAGTAGTGGGAAATCACTTCAAAAGCCTCAAGACATGGATTCATTTCATACCATTAGCATCTTACCAGCTCTTAATTCATTGATATAGAGAACTGGAAAATAATCAATTAAAAATTGATACGTAAGCACTTACAAATGCAGTTGCCTCCCCCTTACTGTTTCGATAGCCTCTGGATCTACAAAATGTAATCAAACCAGTGAACACTACCCAAAGTTTAGTCCAAAGCAAGCTTAATCATTTTCACAAGGAAACTCACACTAAATAGCAAACAAGACTGCAAAATAGAGTTATAAATTGACAAACTGGAAATTTTAGGACCTAAGAAGCTGCCACCAATACCAACATCAATGACATCCTTCAGGGCTTTTCCTGTGGTACCAACCGATACAATCCCCACTCAGACGAGGTAGTTTGTTTGTTCTTGTAAAAAAATAATAATAATAATCATGCTCGATGTTGTGATGAAGCAAACCCGAAAAGTTTGTCATTGCCTTGATTTATATATTTTGCAGGTTACAAGGAAGCTTGAGGGTCAAGCCAAAAGAGTGACTAGCCTTGTCTTCTCAAACACTCTGAATGTACTAGTTTCTTCTGGTGCTGATGCATATTGGAAACTACAATTACTTTCAGACATGGCTTTTACTCTAATGTGACTTCTGTTATTTAACGACGTCATTTTGGCCCTGCAGATTTTTGTGTAGGGTGCTGCTGGGTGGGAAAAACAGAGAAGCAAATTGAAAGGGATGAAATAATGATCAAGAACCAGTTTGCAGTCTAGGTGAACTAAGTTTTATTCTTCCAAAAATGACCCTCACATTTTTCCTCTCAACCAGATTTAATGTCTCCAATATGTCAATATGAAATAGACATAACAATCGCTATGCGACAAAGATCTATTTCCAGATCAGAAAGCAAAATTTCCTTGAGGCCATTGACAAGTGAGAACATTTTTTTGAAGCTTCTTATAATCTATACATAAACAATCTTAAAAAACACCATGTTCTGCATGTTTTTGGTTCATTCTTGACAGCAATTGTCGCTCCAAGGCATTAGATATCCTCATGAAGGATCTCAAAGTTTTTGCCGAAGGTAATGAGGAGCTGTTCAAAGAAATGCATCAAATGTGTATGGGTTCAATCCAACAGGGATCATACAGCACTCTCTATGTGTGGAGATATAATGTCTCAATCAGATTTTGCACAATAATGGCATATCTACAGAGAATTTATTCAATAATGGATATTTCTTTAAAGAACAATCTATTGAATCTCATAATACGCAGAGATAATAATCTTCCAAAAGCCACAAGAGACCTCAATTTCTGAAATTCTTGTTACAATAATTCCTCAAAAGCTCCTTCACCCAGCCAGTCATGGCCAAAACCAAAATTTCCAGCCATCTGTATAAACAGAAACCAAAAGGCATAAAAGTAAGACAATTTGTAACAGTTGTAAGTGAAAACAATAACCGATTACAGCTAGCCAACATGCTAATCTAATGATTCCAGAGTACAGCCGCTATACTCTACACTCTTGAACATTCAACATAGTTTCAGCTGTTGTAAAGGTCTTCAAAACTACCACAACTGCAAATATCAAAAGAATATGAATGAACGATAAGAAACCCCACATAGAGCTTAGATTACAAGAGTCAATATTTAGTGATATAAATAAACTTAATGCTTACCGAGGGTAGTTTCTGGGTTTAACCCTGCAATATTTCTGGCAGCATCAATAGGATCAACGTTTGCAAGACTGGACACAGAGGAAAACAAATTAATAGAATACCCTTAGACCCGAATCATCCATCCTCTGATAATAAATAAAAAATTATATATGCCACAAATATTTTTCAGAAACGGAGTACTGCCACTCTTTATGGGCCATGCTCCCCACCAAACATTCAGTTAATCTTTTCTTTGAGGGATGCAGCCTGCATTGTGGCATAGACAACATTAATTAAACAACACTATATTCACCCAATCCCTTCCCCCCACCAGACACTAGTTACGAACGGGCCAACCCCACCTCTGCCAATTTCCAAGGTTTCAGGCGTGGAACGTTGCTGATTTTCAGAGATGCCTTTACGTTGTTGATAAACGAGAGTAGCAAAAACCCTAGCTTGATGTATTTGCAGAGATGTCAGACCCGCTAGGAAAAAAGAAATCTAAAAAAAAAACGCCAGCCAAGTTTTCCAAAAATCGGCGGCCTAGGCGGCCTAGGCGGGTTTATTTTATAAATAGTATTATACTTCTGAAATAATGTATTTAAACGGTATGGCCGCGCGGCTAATAATATATTTAAAGAGTATACCCGCGCGGCTATACCCTTGAGGTCAATATGTCACTATTGATGTCTTCAATATGTCAATATGAAATAGAAATAACAATCGCTACTCGACGAAGATCTATTTCCAGATCAGAAAGCAAAATTTCCTTGAGGCCATTGACAAGTGAGAACATCATTTTTTTTAAGCTTCTTATAATCCATACATAAACAATCTCTAAAAAAATACCATGTTCTGCATGTTTTTGGTTCATTCTTGATAGCAATTGTCGCGCCAAGGCATTAGATATCCGCATGAAGGATCTCAAAATTTTTGCCAAAGGTAATGAGGAGCTGTTCAAAGAAATGCATGTGTATGGGTTCAATCCAACAGGGATCATAAGTTACTCTCTATGTGTGGAGATATAATGTTTATGAGGAAGAATATGATGAAAGAACTCAGGCAAATAATTGAGGCAAATCTAGTTTTCCGAGGCAAACTGAAGTATCCTAGCATCAAAAGTCATAGATTACATAAACTCATTAACCAAAGGTAATGCTTCCTCTCTAGTTTTGGTCTTCCTTTCTATTTCGTGGTTGCATATGTTCATACATATGCCTGTGCGCGTTTGTGTGAGAGAAAGAGTAATTGTTATTCTCATATTTAGTAAAAGATTTAGTCACTTTCAGTTTTTTGTAATTGGGAGAGACACTGACTTGTGTGTTTAAGTTGACAGCTTGAATTGGCAGCATTAACAGTGTAAAAGACCCTCGTCCAAATCCAGTCATTAAGACTCTTTTCGTTGATCATGTTTGTGAACCACAGGAAAATGTTCCTTTGCCTCAACCAATTGAAAACAATTTGGGAGTAAGATATGTGATGGTGACATAATTTTATTTTTCCTAAGTATTTGTCCTCATTAACCAATGTCCTGCTCAGTGTCTACACTTACTGATTTTGGTCCAAATCCAGTTATTAAAACCCTTTTCATTGATCGTGTTTGTGAATGGCAGGACTGTTTGTCTTTGTCTCTATCGACTCGGAACAGTTTGAAAGTAAGATATGTTCTGGTAAACTGAAATTCTTTTCGTATTGGTCCTCATTAACCAATGTTTCCTGCTCATCAGCCATACTAGCTGATTTTCTTTTTCTATTTTTAAACAAGATTTTGTTTAGTCTTTCTGGTTTCTTCTAAGATTGCTCTAAACTTCTGTATTTAGCCTTCACAAGCAACATCAAATCCACTTCCAACTTCTTATGCTGAGCCAAAAATTTATCTGTAACACAAGATGCACTCTTCGGGAGCAGTATCTCTCAATGCTGCAAAGAGCCCAGGCATTTTTTTTTAGTTCTTCAAGTGATGTTGTTGGGTACTGGTACCCTCTAATTTATGTTTAAAATGTGTCGTCATTTTACACATTGCATAGTTGTTATTATTAACTTTTGATTAAATTCTTGTGGCTACAGCTATAGAGGTTATTGACTATCCATGCTTGTCCAAAAAAATGTTCTTTCTGATTTTGGATGAGGTAATCTGAATCAATTTTATGTACAGAATTACATAATTATAGAACTTTGTGTATCTTGACCTTGGTTTTCTTTCAATTGTTTAGGTAAAATCAACTGTCACTGATCCTGGCCAAAGTCACCTGACCGCGGTTGCCATACCCAATGTTTTGCCCACTACTTTTGCCCTTACACTAAATGAGGGCTCATCTCCAATGAGCATGGATTTTCATCCCACTTGGCAGACTCTTCTTCTATGTTAAGTAATGAGAAACTATGTTCTTTTTTTTCTTCTTTTTTTCTCCCATCATTTATAAATTTCCTGTCTTTTTAGGATGATCGTGTGTGGTAACTAGTTTTGATAGTTCACTAATGAATCCTGCTAATGTGATTCTTCAGTTGGAACCTGGGGGTGTTGGAGACATAGGACTATGGGATGTTAGTTCAGGGAAAAAGTTGCTTTCAAGAAATTTTAGAGTCTGGAATCTTGATGCAGGCCCGATGGCCTTAAAGGTGCATTTGCTTCTGGATTATGTACTACTCTTTCAACCTTACTGATATGATCCGAAATTTGAACCAATGCCAATTATTTCAAGAAGCTCTGGTCAAAGATTCATATGTATCTGCTAATCGTATCCAACAGAGTCCTGATGGTTCTGTATTTGGTGAGAATGTTCTCATACTTAAAATGGTATGGAGTTGCTGATTTTCAGTTCTTGTAGTTCACATTCACTGCCGTCGTGTTCTTCAATGAACAGGGGTTGCATATGCAAAGCGCATTGTGCAATTATATTCTTATAATGGAGGCAACAACAATTGGAAGTAAGTTATGAAAAAGAACACAAATTCTCAAGGAAACTGCAACTTTTGAGTCTGTGACTATAAACCCAACCCATCATTTTTCTTACGTAGATTGATGCTCACTTAGGAAGTGTAAATGATTTTGGCATTCTTTTCCCCTCACGACCAACTTTTGGTCATAACTTGTGCTGATGACAAGACCGTCAAGGTTGGTTTCATTAATGTATGTTTAAGGTTTGGGATATATTTTGTAGCCAAAGACTGTTTACTTTTGAAGGTCATGAAGCTCCTGTCTATTCTGTCTGTCCTCATACCAAAGAAAATGTCCATGTAAGGGCCACTTTGGGTATTGATGTTGTGGTTCTGGTGATGTTTTTGTTTTGAATCATCTGATTTACTTTCCGGTTCCTGCAATATATTATCCAACACTTTTTTCATGCTTCATGCCTAAGTTGTTTTTCAACATCAGTGGATGGCAAGATCAAAATATGGTTATATGATAGCTTTGAAGGCAGTGCAGTACCAAACTGGCACATAGTGCTGATGTTCAAAGGTTCAACTTATATGGCCTGCGATTCCCATCTTTTATTTCCTGATTGATATCTTTGGGTGAATATAGTAATGTTAGTTTTGATTGAGGTCATGTAGGCTTTTTTTCATGTGGGATCAGCCAAGGAGGGAAACAATCAGAGCCAGGAGCGACCAAGTGTAAAAACATGGATTTGTTTTTTTGTTTTTTATATTAAGAGAGATTACATGAGCCTCAACTAAACCAACATCTTCCATTGCAAAAATGCGATGAAGTGAACATTGAACTCCTCTCAAAGACTTTTTTTATACTTATTTTGTTCGAACTACACAAATATAAGAAATCCAGGCCTAGATTTCTTCTTTATGTCTTCTTTATGAATTTCTGACTCCTCAATCTTCTGCTTTCAAATACTTCATTCCTAGTCCTAGATCGAGGACACAATACAAAGATCATAGTAACCAGTACTGTGTTGTCTACTGGACTGCTGATCCTGGGCCTAACCCTGCTATTATATGCGAGGAAGAGGCAGCAACAAATATATGGTAATCTATTTGATTTTCTACTCGTCTGCCCCTCCATCTTCTAAGATAGGTAGGTTCAGTTCTATAGAAATTTTTTGCTGTTGCCTCTCTGGTTTCTAAGCTAAGGTTCCATGCTACATTATTTACTTCACTGCGTACTTCACAGGAGAACTGAAGCCCGGCCAAAAGCAAGATCTGGAATTACCATTATTTGACTTGGCCCTTTTCAAACAACAATAAACTTGGAGATGGTGGTTTCGGATCAGTCTTTAAGGTAAAATCAAATACAGTTCTTCCTACAGTTAGCTTGACAGTTTCCACATGTCATTTGGGTCAGGACTAAGGTGGTGTAATTTTTATTTTTTTCTGTTCTTCGTGGGTTGGTTTTGTGTTCCTATGCAAGAGGAGGAGGAGACAAATCTTTCATTTTTTTTTTCTAACAAGAGGGCATGATCAAATATCAAAATCTATAACAGAAATAAAATATCCAAAGAAAGAAAAGCAGTCCAACCAAGAAGAACCATCAATGGATGAAAATTGAATGCATAAAGATTTATTAAGTTTCAAGCAAGAAGAACCAAACCAATCAATCTATTGCTTAACCAAACCAGAAATAAATAGTCAGAATTTGAGATTGGGGCCTAAAAACCGAACCTTGTTATTGGCAAGACCACCGAAACTCCATGATAGGATAGCTTCATCATTTCCTTCCACCGAAGACAGACACCAAGTCAGCAAATTTTGTATTTAGGGTTCCCATGACTTGTGCTTGCTTCGGCTTCCAAATCTCAATCTCAAGCTCAAATTTGCAGGTAAACTTTTTCAATTTCGGGTTGCAGACTTTCAGTCAATCGCAGTGCTCAAAAAATGGGGCTAGGCGGACGGCCAGGCGGCTAGGCGGCTAGGCGGGAGTTAGGCGGCTAAGCGGGTGCTAGGCGGCTGGGCGGGCCTCCTAGGTGGGTTGGGTCATTTTCCGGTGTCGAACAAGGAGGACGAAGCAGCCGAAACTTGACTGCGTCTGCAAGCTCCGTCCTTTGCGAGTGCAAGCTTCGTGTTTGTTGAACTGTATTCAAATAGTATAGCCGTTCGGCTATACCATTAAAATATTCGAATATATTAATATTTAAAGAGTATAGGCGAACGGCTATACTTTTAAAATATCCAAATGTATTTAGAAAGTAAAGCCGCGCCAGGCTAGAGTTATTTCTTCAATTATTTTATTTATACATGCGATATTAGGGAATGAGAATTTAAATTCTTTCTAATACCTCTCATTCTAATGATTTCCAACTATTAGCTCATTGGACAAGAATAAAAAATGAATTTTATTTATAACAAATAATATAGGTTAAACCCATAAATACAACAACAACAACTAAATCCCTCGACATTTTGTGGATCAAAGGATGTTGAATTTCATAGTATAAAATTGCTTGTATAGCAATTTACTTTCTAGAAGAAAAATTGGATACAAAACAGTCTAACCAGACAACGAAGAGAAGTTTGCAGCTCTGTTTTGAAGTTTATTGAAGGTATCAGAGGTCATATGACATTGATATATGAACTATTCAAAATGAGAATTCAAACAACATGTGTTAGATGAGAAGTAGCATCTCATTCTTAAATATAACATGTTACTTCATTTGTCTACTAGTTGTGCCTATTGTTAATAAGCTGGTACAACCAACATTCTTTCACCAAGAAACTTTTCTTGAACCTCAAAGAAATTTAGCTAGGAAAACCTTTGGTGGTCAGGGAAAGTTAAGATAGAAACAGAGGCAGATGCAAGGCTAAAGAACAATTGCGAGCACATGTGATATTACAGAAAATGTAGCGAAGGAATTTGGAATGGCCATTTTCCAAATTAAGCACACATCTTATAATGAAATCAAGATAGGAACTTATGACAAGCCCTCATTAGAGTACAATGTCCAAAAACACAATATGAACACCACACCACTCCACACTCAACACACATAATTGCTCTTCAGTGTTGTAAATAAAAAAAAAGATGACATATCGCTTAGTACAATCAAATAGTTCTTCATTCCTCATCGCCCAAATCATTGAACGCATCGCACAAATCATTGAGCATTTAATCCCACGTCTCCTCCACATGCACATGAAATGAGTATCCATCAACAAGAAGAACAAAATTGTCCATACCACGAAGAAATTCAAGAAATTCAGAACCCTCTCGCACATAAATTTACTAATATGAGACGCAAGCTTTGATATTTCATCGTCATTCTCATTGAAACCAAAACAATCTTTGACGTCCAACATCACCAAATCTTTGCATTCGCGTAGCAACGTGACAAGACCATCCCGATTAACTTTTGCACCCTTCAAATTTAAATACTTGATATTAGGCACCAACTTCACAATTGACAATATGCCTCACGCCCATGAACAGAGCCTTTGGACAAATCTAAACCATAAAAATTCTTGCAATGTTTTTGTATAATTTCAAGTATTTTGGCCAAATTTAAGAATGAACCCAATGATAAACACCTCCAAATTTTCCACTTGCCAATCAGCTCTAGGTTCGTGTGTTTGCTGTCCAATACATTTACTGGTAAACTCGGAGTCACAAGGCCAGGACACCTACACACATTCCACAACAACAAAAATGCTACATTTACATTTACAAGGAAAATTCAACTGGATATACTTGAGGGTATGATCAAATGTCAAAATCTATAACAGAAATGTAATATCCAAAGAATGAAAAGCAGCCCAACCAAGAAGAACCATCAATGGATGAATATTGAATGCATACAGATTTATCAAGTTTCAAGCAAGAAGAACCAAACCAATCAATCTATTTCTTAACAAACCAGAAATAAATAGTCAAAATTTGAGATTGGGGCCTAAAAACCGAACCTTGTTATTGGCAAGACCATAGGAACTCCATGATAGGATAGCTTCATCATTTCCTTCCACCGAAGGCAGACACCAAATCAGCAAATTTTTATTTTTTTTCTTGTGGGCCATGCCGTCAATCCAAAGAGAGAAGATAATAAGGTGGAGTTGGCAGAGGGAGGAATTGTTGTAGTTTTCATTGGTGTGGTGAGGAGGTGAACATGTCGTTTGGGAGAGAGCCTAGAGAGAAGAGAATAAGGCGAGAAACAGGGAGAGGAATGGAATTAGATGAATTAAGAGTCTCATGATCTCTTCTTCTATGGACCTTACTTGTGCTTGTATCAGCTTCCCAATCTCAATCTCAAGCTCAAATTTGCCGCTAAACTTTTTCAATTTCAGGTTTCAAACTTTCAGCCAATCGCAGTGTTTAAAAAATTGGTCTAGGCTGCTGGCTAGGTGGCTAGGCGGGCGCTAGGCGGCTGGCGGGCATCCTAGGCGGGTTGGGTCTTTTTTGGGTGCCGAACCTAGACGACGAAGCAGCCAAAACCGAAGAAAACAAAATTGATGTTGGAGTTGATAGAGAAGCGAAATGGCTATGACTTAGACTACAACCTCCATCCTTTGCGAGTGCAAGCTTCGTGTTCGTTTCGAATATATTTAAAGAGTATAGCTAATTGGTTATACTTTTAAAATATTCGAATATATTGTATTTCAAGCTTATAGCCGAACGGCTATACTTTTAAAATATTCTACGAGTATAGCCAGTCGGCTATGCTATTTAAATATACAATTTTGTCATATCATTTTAGGGTTTGGAGATAAAATACCACTTTAGTCCATTGGGCTAGAGTTATTTCTTCAATTCTTTTATTTGTATAAGAGATATTGGGAAATGAGAATTTAAATACTTTCCAATACCTTCCATTTTAATGATTTCCAGCTATTAGCCCATTGGGCAAGAATAAAAAAATGTATTTTATTGACTATTAAAATGGGGCTATTAGCCCATAAATACAACAACAAAAAATAGGGATTCGCCAACGTTTTGTGGATCAAAGACTATTAAATTTCATATTATAAAATTGCTTGTATAGGAATTTACTTTCTAAAATGTCCATCGTAATAACGAACTAAACCCAATTACTGCCTTTTTCTCATTGCACTTGACAACCCTGCTCTTCTGCTATGAGATATATTAGTCCATGCTGTATTCTATGCAGATGAAAAATTGGATACAAAACAGTCTAACGAGACAACGAAGAGAAGTTTGCAGCTCTGTTTTGAAATAAATCGAAGGTAATAGAGGTCAATATATACGAAGTATTCAAAATGAGAATTCAAACAACATGTGCTAGATGAGAAGTAGATCTCATTCTTACATATACCATACCCACGTGCACCTGAAATTCCCAATGTGAAGAGGGGAGGTAAGTGCAATACCTCCCTTGTAGCTCGCAAGCGTAGCAGATCCAACCTTTCATGAGGACGTCGGTTTGATAAAGAAGCAAGCTGCATCCAATGATACATTAGTACCGGCAATCACAGCCCACAATATACTCAATTTTAATAAAGAGAAATATAAAGTTACCCATAAGCTGAAGCGCTCAAGATCTTGTGGTGAAGGCATCATCGCTTCCCCGCTGAGAAGTCTCTCAAGTTTTCTTCGATCTATAAAGAGATACTATCATACATCAAAAGGGCACCTAGGGATACTTAACACAAGAATAGGGGAAGAAACCATTCTTATGTACACTGGCATTACATGTAGGATAATCTCCCAAGTCTCAAGTACCTCTGTGTTAGATTTGATGGGGGAGATGGTGTCTCAATGGAGAAACTTTTTTCTAAGTGCCCTGTACTTGAAGATTTGACTATACTCTGGAATTTTAGAGTTGATTCAAAATCTCTGCCCCTGAATTGAAGACAAGCATTACAAATACTAGAAATAATTGTACGTTCCAACTCTTCATCAATTCCCCAAAGCTTGAAAACCTGATTGTCGATGTCTTCGGTTGGTGCTCATATGCCATTTTATGTTTTCTAAAATTTGCAGCCAAAATTCGTCCCTATAGGCTTCCAGTAGGTGAAAGTCTAGCCTGTGATTACCTTGTGCCTCCGTTTACTATAGGAATTTCCAATGTTACGTATCTTTCTCTTCTAGCTTCTAGTTTGGATGGTTTATTTTTGCTTGCTATCTTTAAACTTTTGAAACAGTTGGAGCTAGGACTCATTCATTCTAGGTACTGGACATTGCTCATAGAATATCTGAACCGATCACCTAATCTAGAATCTTTTATCCTAGACCTTGATAGTATATGTTGAACACAGAAAACAACCCTTTCCGTCCACCAGTATTTGTGCCTACTTGTTTGTCTTCACACATTAGGATAATCTCCATGAAGGGGATCCAAGGAAAACGTCATGAGATGGATGCAACTAAGTATTTGTTGAAGTTCAATTTGGTTATGAATAAAATGACTGTTTCTACTGCTACTGTTGTTGGTGTTGTCACTCCTTCCCTCCCGAAATAGGAGATATACAAGGAAATTTCAATGTTTAAATGTGGTTCATAGAGTTGCCATGTTCAAGTTCTATGAGATGCAATGAAGGTCTCAGTTTCACATCAGTTCAAGGATTTCTCCGAGTTTGTTCTATACTTTCTGAGTTCGAAAATGTCAATTTCATTTGTTTCTTTCACTCATCTGTTAGATTAAAGTGGACATTATATTAGTAGTGATTTAATCAAACTTATTTTGGAACTTTGAATTTTCTGTACAACTCCATGATCTTTTTTGGGTCATTGAATTGTTGGTTTTCTAGCTTTCGTGGAACTCAAACAATTTGACAGCTTTTACATGTCGATATTTTATTTTTCTATTTGGGGTTTTAGACTTTCAGTCAATTGCAGTGATCAAAAAATTGGCCTAGGCAAGCGCTAGGCTGCTAGGTGGGCATTAGGCAGCTAGGCAGGTTTGGTCTCTTTTCAGTGCCAAGCCCGGAGTACGAAGTCTCTGTCTTTACATACATTGAAAGAGCCTAATCCAATCAAATCAACCCAGCAGCCGAAAACGAAGAAAAAAAAATATCAAAGCTTGAGTTGAGAGAGAGGCTCAAGACCGAGTCTTTGAAGCTTGGAAACGGATGTGACTCTGACTACAAGCTTCGTGTTCGTTTCTTTGTCCCTAAACCATGAATATTTTTAAAGAGTATAGCCGCTCGGCTATACGTTTTTAATTTTTACAATTTTAAAGTGTATAACAGCGCAGCAATACCTTTAAAATGTTCAAATATATTAAAAGAGTACAGCCGATACTCTTTAACTATACAATTTTGTCATATGATTTTAGGGTTTAGGGCTAAGATACCACTTTAGCCCATTGGGCTAGAGTTGTTCATTCAATTACTTTATTTATACAAGTGATATTAGGGAATGAGAATTTAAATTCTTTTCGATACCTCACATTCTAATGATTTCCAGCTATTAGCCCATTGGGCAAGAATAAAAAATGAATTTTATTTATAACAAATAATACAGGTTAAACCCATAAATACCAACAACAACAAAAAAAGGATCTGTCAACATTTTGTGGATAAAAGAATGTTGAATTTCATAGTATAAAATTGCATGTATAGTAATTTACTTTCTAAATTGTATCTATCATAATTATGAAAAAAAACCCAATTATAGCCTTTTTCTTATTGCACTTGACAACCCTGCTCTTCTGCTACGAGATATATCAGTCCGCGCGGCTATACTTTTAAAAAATTCAAATGTGTTTAAAGGGTATAGCCTACTGTTAAAATATTGGATAATTTTGCTTCTAGCAATTCTGAAAGTACCTTGGAAACATCATTCACAGTATGAGAGCATACAATTGCCAGGTTTTCCATTCAGATACTCTGTCAGAGCATCTCTAGGAGAGTCTCCAAATTTTACCCAAATTATAGTTAAAATTGCTAACCACTTAAAAGGTGGTTCCTTCAGCAATGCTCTTTATTTTAGCTAACCTCAAATATTTATTATTTTAAAATCATTAAAAAAAATTAAAAGAAAGAACTCAAAATGAAAAGTAGCCCAGGAACCTTTCTTTTTCTTTTCTCTCTCTCTTTCCCTCTCTCTCTTGCACACCTTCTAGCTTTTTCTTCTCTCTCTCTCTCTCTCTCTCTCTCTCTCTCTCTCTCTCTCTCTCTCTCTTGCGCAGCTTTCAGATTTGGTGAGCCTTGAATTTCTCTCTCCTTCTTGCTAGATGTAGTGAGCCAACATGGCGAGATAGGTAGCGAAGCTGCTGGAGCGTTGTTTTTCCTTCTTTTTCGCTAAAATACCAAAATTTCCTTGAGGCCATTGACAAGTGAGAACATCATTTTTTTTATGCTTCTTATAATCTATACATAAACAATCTTATAAAAAAAGAACTATGTTCTGCATGTTTTTCCCATATTTGCAGTTTTTTTCTAGTGACCTTAGGTATAAAAGGAATAAAACCAAAAAGGAAAATAAAGAAATTCAACAAAAGGAATTCTCTTCTACATTTACCATATTAATCAAATTGGTTAGGCTACAAATGGGCTCGATACATTAATTCAAAACCACACAAGCCTCATTTAGTTTCGTATTTGGCAAATTGTCCCTCAATAGATAACAAAAGTAAGAATAATTTGACAAATCGAAAACCAAAGGGGCAAAAGTGACTCAATTAAAACAACATCGACCTTAGTGGTAAAAGTTATAAACCACAAGAACTAAAAGTGACTTTTTCCCTTTCAAAAAGGGTTTTTGAAGTTTAGGGTTTGGGAAGAATTAGAGATGGGGCCTATTGGGTGTTTTGAAATAGTTAAATTTTACATTTAAATTAATTGTTAATTAAATATTTGGGTTATTCGCAGCAATGGTCCCTCAACTATACCCGTACTTGCATTTGGGTCACTGAACTCAATTATTAGTTGCAGAGGTCACTCAACTATGTGTTTCGTTGCACCAGTAGTCATTCCGTCAAGTCCGTTAGTTTTTTCCGTTTAAAATGATGACGTGGCAAGCATCTGTGAGAATCTCATAGATTCGTGAGGGGCAAATCTGACTTTTCAGTTAGCCTTCTTCAACACCTGACTTTTGCAATTCGAGAACAACCAATACGGGCTCTACCCTTTTTTGCAATTCAACACCATGAGGCTTGATAACATGTTTGAGCTTATCTTCCTGGTTCAATATCAAGAGCTAGGTGTACGGAATTCGATTGGAGATGATGGGGAGGCCTTGGGACCAAGACTCGAGCTCTTGATGAGATAAAGCTTCAGATTTTTTGAGCGTGGACTTCTTGGGCACTCGCTTTTTCTCTTTGACGGTGGCTATGCCGGTTGGGATTTGGGGGAGAGCGGTGGAGATTACAGTGAGAGTTACATAAAGTTTGAGGAAATCGAAATTGGGTTTCTGGGTTTTATCGTTTTCATCATTATCATCCGTGGTTGAGAGATGGGAGGAAATGGAGGATGGAGCGAGAGGTTTTGGTGGGTTTTTATTGAGGGTTTGGGGTTTGGGGATAGAGAAGAAGATGAGCAAGAGCCCATAAGGCATTGGCAGGCCATGGAGTTTTGGTTTGATGTGAAAATATTGGGAGGTTGGACATTGTAGACTTGGAAAGACAAATTTGCCCATGAAATTGACACCACGTTAGCTAGACTTGACTGAAGGATTACTGGTGTAACAAAACACATAGTTGAGTGACCTCTGCAACTAATAATTGAGTTCAGTAACCCAAATGCAAATACGGGTATAGTTGAGGGACCATTGGTGCGAAAAACCCTAAATATTTTTTTAATTAGACAAACTAATGGTGAGGCATTGGATTGAATTTATTAACTATGGCAAGCAGCAAAAAAATCAGAAAAATTGAAATGACAGTGACCAAATTTGATAGCGAGCCAAAAAGTGAGTTTAGCACAACCAAAACAATGTCATGTATCCTAACTTCATTATGATGACTCTTTAACTAGCATTGCAATAGTGACAAAAACATGTTGTGGCAACACATCTAATATGACAAAGAATATAAATTCCACTCTTTTTCCAAATATTAATGATCAGAACGCCCAGAAGTACTTTCATGTAGACATCTCACCAACCCATAAACACTTTGGTAGGGATTGTACAGTGAAATTGGATTATTGATCACTGAGACAACTATTCTCTGGTTGTACTTCCGTTAGGTAGGCTTCTCATTTCCTCGTGTAAAAAGCTATATGCCAAACCACAACGCCAAAATCTTTTTAAAAATCTATTCTCCTTCCTCTTCCTCAGAAGCACCTGTTTTAAAATAAAATAAAATAATTTAATGAGTGAAAAATTTGGACAATTTTTTATTGTGCTTTGTTAAACACCTCCTACAATTCCAACTAAGTAAGTATTGCTCTAACGATCCAGCTGTGATAAGAAATCTATATGCATATAGATGCATCAAAATTCTGTCGTAATAGGTATCTTTGCTGCAAGTAATGTCAACTCCTTTTCAGCAAGCCATGCCAACAACACAGCATGTGTAGCAGCAAGACATATCGAGCCTTAATTTGGAAAAGCATTATCTGATTGGAAAATGGCGCAAGCATTATCTAATGTGTGCAGTAACATAATTTAGTTGCACTCGAGAGAACGGGGTAAAGGCCAAAGGCCAAACAAAAAAAAAAAAAAAAAAAAAAAAAAAATGAACTCTCAAATTGATTTATTGTGAAATTTCTCTCTCTTCAATATATCCTTTGGAGATGTCAAAACTAACAAATTAATATCTATAAAGTATAAACTAATGCAACTATAAGGGTCATTTTCTTTTATTTTTTTATTTAATAAATAGTATCGCCTTGCGCCTATACTCCTATTATATTAATTTTTCTCTAATATAATATACTTAAAGAGTATAGTTATAAATTTTAAAAGAGTATAGCCACGTGGCTATACTATTTTGGACACGTGACAAAGTGGCCCCTGGGCGCCAGGGGTGGTCTTTTTTTAATTATAAATAGTATCACCGTGTGGCTATACTCAACGTGTTTTTTTTAAATAAAAAGAGTATAGTTGGGCAGCTATACCACGGTTTTTATTATTTAAAAACAGTATAGCCACAACTGGTGAAATGGGCGCTAGCGCAAGGCGGGTCCCATTTTAAAAAAAAATAGTATAGCCGTGATGCTATACTCGGATTTTTTAATAGTGAAAATATTATCACCCCGCGGCTATACTCTTTACATAAAGCAACCCAGTTTGCTGTGGGGCTCTCCAATGGCGAGCTCCATGTCCTTGAGCTTGAGCCTCTGGAAGATGAAGATAAATGGGGTATGTTTGCCGTTGGTTTGACTTGACACCAAGTTGGAGAGCTGTGAGCCTGTGGAATCCGAGGGCATCGTCCTTAACAAGTGATCTCTAGATAATATATGCCTCAACATTATAATAACTCATCTCTAGATAATGCATGCTGTGTAGTTTAGGCATTTGCAGTAACAACTTTTATAAATCTAAAATCTAAAATCTAAATCCTCAACAAAATAAATTCAGAAGTTTCTTTGAAAATTTGCAGCCATTATTTCTTTTAAGTTTCAACTATTTTTTCTTGTGCACTTGGTCTCTCTCTCTCTATGATGATCTTTACCACATTTCAACAGTCATTTTTGAGCTAAAACTCACCAATCTCTCTTTCATAATTTCATTGGCCAAGCCAAAAATTATTGAAGACAGAAGAAAAGAGTGGAGACGATTGATCAGGATCACTAGTTATAAGTTTAGGCTCGAGTGGGCTTGAATCTCTAAGAGAAATTAAAGATAACCCAATACATGATCTGATCTGTAACTAATAAAAAATCAGAGCGCATCCATTATTAATGTCAATCTACAAGCAAGGGAACCCTATGAGGGTTCATGAAATGCATATTTATGTCTTGTTGTTTTGCTGGCAGTTTTTGCGCCTTTTAATGAAGTATTTTCAGACCCAAAAAAAAACATTACCGTCAATTTGATGAGAATTAAATTGCTGGATGTCTCAAAGGAGAATACATCTTTCAAGCATCTACCTTTGTTGTCGCAAATGCATAACTTACGCTGCTGTCCCTCCCTCACGGTTTTGCACTGACTTGATTGCTCATATCAGAGAAAATTGGTCTTTATGCTCGTTGAACAGTTCTTCAGCATCTGAATGCATTGAAATATGATTGAAAGGGATGAAATAATGATCAAAACCAATATTCTAGATGCAGTTAACTGAAGAACTGGTGTCGAAGTTATGAGCAATGAAAAAAAAAAATTTGCAGTCTAGGTCAACTAAGTTTAATTCTTCAAAAAATTTCTTCTCCCTCTCATTTTTCCTGTCAACCTGATTTGATGTCTTCAATATGTCAATATGAAATATAAAAAACAAGGATAGGTTCCTTTCATTATATTTTCTGCTCCTTTTGATAACTGCATCCCCCGCATGTTTGTTAGCAAATGCCTGAAATTTGTCTCCACAATCCAGACACAGTAGTGTAATGCTTTTCAGGCCTTTACCCTGTTTCATCCTAGGGTGTCATATTCTCACATGATCACTTATAATATATAGAAATTTCTTTGCCAAATTTAAGGAAAAATATTTGAACTTCTTCCCTTTCAGACACTTGAGGCAATACTTAAGGAACTTACATGCAGAAAGACGCTAATTGGGTGTCGCCCACAAATGAATGGTCTTATCAAACTCCGACAGATACTGTTTGAATGCATCTGGATTTCCAGTTTCTATTAAATCCATTCCCATCCTGTCCAAAGCCTCAACTCGACTACTTGTTCAGAGCTATCGACAATTTGAGAAATTTCAAACGAATGCACTCTTAAGTCACAGCTTCAAGAATGCACAGTAAAAAAATAGTGAATTGTTGGAAAGAGCTAACCGTTATGTTGTTGATAAACGTGAGTCGCTAAAACTCCAGCTAGATGTATTTGCAGAGGTGGCAGACCCGCCAGGAAAAAAGAAATTCAAAAAAAAAAACGTCATTCAAGTTTTCCAAAAATGGGCCGCCTAGGCGGGGCTAGGCGGGTCCTTTTTATTTTATTTTATAAATAGTATAGCCGAGCGGCTATACTGTGAAATAATATATTTAAGTATGGCCGTTCGGCTATACTCTTGAAATAATATATTTAAGTACTGCCGCACGGCTATACGCCTTAAATAATATATCTAAACAATGATTTTGGACACGTGGTGAAGCGGGCGCTAGCTCTTAATTCATTGATGTAGAGAACTGGAAAATAATCAATTAAAAATTGATACGTAAGTACTTACAAATGCAGTTGCCTTCCCCTTGCTGTTTCGATAGCCTCTGGATCTACAAAATGTAATCAAACCAGTGAACACTACCCAAAGTTTAGTCCAAAGCAAGCTTAATCATTTTCACAAGGAAACTCACACTAAATAGCAAACAAGACTGCAAAATAGAGTTATAAATTGACAAACTGGAAAGTTAGGACCTAAGAAGCTGCCACCGATACCAACAGCAATGACATCCTTCAGGGCTTTTCCTGTGGCACCAACCTACCAGAATTGCCAATTACTTCACAATTCAGGCAATATTGTCCCAAAATGGATGCTAAAAAAAATTGTAGTGATTACCCAAAATCCACTTCGAAAACTCTCAGAAATGGATCTTGCATCCCTTGGACCACATTTTTCCCATCACTCTGTATAACTGCATCCCTTGTGAGCATGAAGAGCTACATGAAGCACTGATGTATTTTCTGTGCTGTTTATCTGAAGGCACCACCCAGAAAAAGAAAAACAGAATGCAAAAGAATCACATGATAATGGCTTCAGAAATAAGCTGTGGTCTCATCTTTACCATAAATCCTATAAAGCTATCAAATATAAGTTATTGTGATTTCAGGGCTTTTCCTGTGGCACCAACCGATACAATCTCCACTCAGACGAGGTAGTTTGTTTGTTCTTGTGAAAAAACAAACAAATCATGCTCGATGTTGTGATGAAGCAAACCTGAAAAATTTGTCATTGCCTTCATTTATATATTTTGCAGGTTACAGGGAAGCTTGAAAAAGAGCCACTAGCCTTGCCTTCTCGAACATTCTGAATGTACTAGTTTCTTCTGGTGCTGATGCATATTGGAAACTACAATTACTTTCAGACATGGCTTCTACTCTAATGTGACTTCTGTCATTTAACGACGTCATTTTGGCCCTGCATATGTTTGTGTGGGGTGCTGCTGGGTGGGAAAAACAGAGAAGCAAATTGAAAGGGATGAAATAATGATCAAAACCAATATTCTAGATGCAGTTAACTGAAGAGCTGGAGTCAAACTTATGAGCAATGAAAAAGAACCATTTTGCAGTCTAGGTAAACTAAGTTTAATTCTTCAAAAAAAGACCCTCACATTTTCCCTCTCAACCTGATTTGATGTCTCCAATATGTCAATATGAAATAGAAATAACAATCACTATGCGACGAAGATCTATTTCCAGATCAGAAAGCAAAATTTCCTTGAGGCCATTAACAAGTGAGAACATTTTTTTGAAGCTTCTTATACTCTATACATAAACAATCTTGAAAAAAAATACCATGTTCTGCATGTTTTTGGTTCATTCTTGATCTCAAAAGTTTTTGCCGAAGGTAACGAGGAGTTATTCAAAGAAATGCATCAAATGTGTATGGGTTCAATCCAACAGGGATCATAAGGCACTCTCTATGTGTGGAGATATAATGTCTATGATGAAGGAAAATGCTAGATCATTATTCATTATCATATAAATAAGGTAAAACAAGCACCATATTGTATCTCTTCAATATGATTGATATATTTGCCAATGATCCTGGTACAACAACTTGTATAAGAATTGAAGATATATTATTACATAACATTCTATAGTACTATTAGCTACTATATTTTCACATCAGAAAAATATTAAAATAAAAATTCAAAAAATCACTGCTCTTATCATCGACCTCGAGGGTCTTGCCATCTGTTGGTACTAAGCAATGAATCCCATCCTTTATCTACAATTAAGAATCATACAAGACATCAACTATACATGCAAAACCATATAGAAGGGATGAAATTTTTGACTTCAGCTCAACACATGACCTCTATCAAATACAAGGGCATTATCAATTCTAACAAAAACAAGGACATTCTTCATGCTGTTCTCTGAGTTGTAAGTGACATGTTGCAGGACATTCATTGGAGAAGTGCTGCAGAGAAGGATTCGATCAACTGATATGTCGTATGGCAGATTCGAATCATGATCCACTGGGGAAACAACAGGCGACTGCTGGAAATGATTACTGTTTAGATGATCATTTCCTTCATTCTCATTGCCTGGAAAGGGCTGTGGTTGTATTTCAGTGCTCATGTCATTTATATTAACAGGGAAGCTTGTATTGCAGCCAGCACCAAGCAGGGTGTCTTGCTCCAGTGAAATGTTGCATTGTGCTGTGATATAATCAATCAATTGTTGGTCTTCAGAGACCTGTGAATTTGACAGTTACCAAAAAAAAACTATTTGTGAGAGATGTGACCAAAATAAAATTTCAAATCTAACATAAGAAATTAAAGCAAGGTTTGAGTGAAGCATCATAAAATATCATACATCTTTGGAGACAAACAGCTCAATCAACCCTCTGCACTTGGAACCAAAACTCTGGTCCCATCTTTCCTGCAAAATGTAAGCAGAAATATACAGTTGCATTTAATTATATGTTCAGAAAAGGACTTTCTTTTGGAATTAGCTAGGGAAAATGGGAACTTGTGAGCTCACTGCCATGGCACTCGAATCTCTGTTGGAAGATGAGTTCAACCAAATGGGCTGGTTTGATATTAATGGATGTGCATAAATACTGCTCATGAGCAGCCATGGTTAAGGATATAATAAAACTAATTAATTTCTTTTGTCAAGATATGTACGGTAATTGGTAATTATGATTGAATGAGTAAACAAAAATGCTAAAATGAAAAGGATATACAGGTACCCAGAGTCTAAGGACAGAGTAGAAGGAAGCTGAGCAAGAAGATCACAGGAATTTGTTCTTGAGTGCTGCATTGTATCTCTGCATGGAAGGACTGGATAAACTGGAAAAATAAGTTCATTTCCTCCATTAGTCTGAGTGTTCTCATCAGCCCCAGAAAAACAAAAATCCATCAACTCAATAAACCTAAAAAAATCTAAAAATTAGTCACAAAAAAGAAACATGAATTAGTAACTGTTAATTAAAAAGTTTCTCTTAACCTTCGGATTTCACTCAATTTCCAAATAACACAATAATCCTAGCCTTTCAAACCCACAAGGGGCCTAAGCCTCTCAGTCAGATTTTGCATAATGATGGCATATCTACAGAGAATTTATTCAATAATGGATATTTCTTTAAAGAACAATCTATCGAATCTCATAATATGCAGAGATAATAATATTCCAAAAGCCACAAGAGACTTCAATTTCTGAAATTCTTGTTACAATAATTCCTCAAAAGCTCCTTCACCCAGCCAGTCATGACTCATGGCCAAAACCAAAAGTTCCAGCCACTTCATTAAACTACCCACGTGCAAAACAAGAAGAAAAACAGATTCGGATCAAACACTTTCCTCAAATTACACCAACCAGTAGTGACACAAAAAAAAACAACAGATTATAATGCAACTGCAAGCCCATTCCCAGATCCTTAATATTGACAGATAAGAAATCCACAATAACTGAGTCAAAATGGTACTCCTTAACGATATGGCATGAAAATTAGAAAATACTATCAAGTAAATGAGCCAAGTTTCGACCCCGCATTCATAACATTGTAGCAAATTCACAATCAGACCATTCAAACCAACAGGAAGAGAAACTAAACAAAAAATAATTCCAATTATGGTAGCAAAACTCACAAGACAGAAATAATCCCCAAGTCAGCAAATTTTGTATTTAGGGTTCCCATGACTTGTGCTTGCTTCGGCTTCCAAATCTCAATCTCAAGCTCAAATTTGCAGGTAAACTTTTTCAATTTCGGGTTTCAGACTTTCAGTCAATCGCAGTGTTCAAAAAATGGGGCTAGGCGGACGGCTAGGCGGCTAGGCGGCGCTAGGCGGCTAGGCGGCTAGGCGGCGCTAGGCGGCTAGGCGGCGCTAGGCGGCTAGGCGGGCTAGGTGGCTGGGCGGGCCTCCTAGGCGGGTTGGGTCATTTTTCGGTGCCGAACAAGCAGGACGAAGCAGCCGAAACTTGACTGCGTCTGCAAGCTCCGTCCTATGCGATTGCAAGCTTCGTGTTTGTTTCAAATGTATTCAAAGCGTATAGCCGAACGGCTATACCCTTAAAAAATTCGAATATATTAATATTTAAAGAGTATAAATATCCAAATGTATTTAGAAAGTAAAGCCGCACGGGGCTAGAGTTATTTCTTCAATTATTTTATTTATACATGCAATGCAATATTAGGAAATGAGAATTTAAATTCTTTATGATACTTCACATTCTAATGATTTCCAGCTATTAGCCCATTTAGCAAGAATAAAAAATGAATTTTTGTTTTTCTGTTTTTGTTTTTGTTTTTTTTTGAGAGGAAGTAGTAAATGTTCATTAAAATTGTGAAATGTTACAGACTCGAGCGAAGAAACGTGGTGTTCATTAAAATTGTGAAATCTTAAATTAAAGAAACGCCATTCAAGTTTTCAAAAAATTGGCCGCCTAGGCGGGCTAGGCGGGTCCTTTTTAAAAAAAAACAAAATAGTATAGAGAACAGAGCAGAGAGGCCATTGCCGGGGTGGTTGGTCGTCCTGACCAGACTTTTTAGTAACCTGAGAAGTTCAGTGGATGGTCATTGCCGGGGTGGTTGCTTGTGTCATTGACTCTTAGGCAAAGTTGATATATACAGAACAGAGCAGAGAGGCCATTCACTGGCATAGTCGCATTCATACCTTACAAGCTATATCTATTTCTTTCTCTGCTTAATTTCTTATCCTTCCTTTCTTTTCTTTTCTGGTAAGTTCTTATCCTTCTTTCCGGATTGAGTGAGGCACCTTCAATTGCGTTTTACTATTATAGGGGAAACTTCTGTTTTTGTTTTTTTTGTTTTTTGTTTTTAATTATATATATTTTATGAAGAGCCACTAGATATGCTTTGGTAAATTAGATTTATTTGGTGAACATCATGGAGTTCATGGACTTATATAATTGTTTATTTATTTGCTTATAGTAAGGAGAGGGCAATAATCAAACTCTTACTATATATTTTATCTCTAAAGAGCCCCGTTGTTTAATTTATAATTTTAGAGTAAGGTCTTGATGGAGACACCCCAATCCCATGTAGACCCATTGATTTTTGACACACAACTTCAAGTTGAGCCTTTTATTATTACAAACTCTAATGCCAGGTGTGGGTTTCGAACCTCAAATTCAGTATGAGGTTAAACACTCTTAACCACTACATTATGACCCTATTGGCCATCCCAACTTCAATGTAGGAATAAAAACTCTAAAACTTCATATATACTTTAAAATACATTATTCCGAACGAAAAAAATATTATATCAAACTATAAACCAAAACTTTATTAAGTATTCCGTCAAAATCAATATAAAAAATTTGCTAAGGAAAATTTATATCAAGTTCGAAATAACTAAGAAAATTATTGTGACTTCGACCGAAAAAAAGGGAAAAATTATTGTGTGATACAAAAACATGATCACGTGGTATAACCAGTCTACTTATTATAATATGGGTAG